CACGGTTAACTGAATGAGACAATTGTCAAGTTGAGTCGGCCATCCAAATCACCGAAGGGGTGCCTCAAAACTACCGCACTCTCCACAACTCCACAACCCATTGGCACCAGGAAAAGAGATGACTTGCGGCTGAATTCATTAAAACTGAAGATTTCTGGAGAACACATAGAAAATGAGAACTCCCTCACTCCAATGTGTGCACACCAGCTTAGGCAAATGGCCGTCTTCAAGGAGATGTTTCTTGGAGATACATCATGGGGCTCGTTTATCAATAACAATCAAAAACAGCTCCTCCACACGCAAGAAAGTCTTTGAAGGATAATGACTATAGCCGTAGCTGTAGCTATCCTTTGTGCTGCTTGGCATTTGTGGAGAGGGCAAAGCGGCGCCCCAAGGTGCAGCCAACATCCATTCTGGCACCCAAGATGTTGCGGTATTGACAAGGTCAGCTAGAAGAATTTATAGGAATTCCACGAATCACGTGAATTTGCCCTGAAGACTCAGGCTTACCCAAAACAGAAATATTCATCACCTCCGGAATGCACAAATCATCCATCAAAGGCCCAGAACTGGACGTGCCGACGGTCGCTCTCTGAGTACGGACTCAAGTCCACAGGTCAGTTCAGCCCCAGAACTTGGTGATTGCACAGTCTGGCAGAACAGGGGACTTTTCAACAGTCCTCTCTTTCCGACCAAAAGAACAACAGGTCCGCTTCGGGTGATTTGAGACTCGCCAGCTTCGAGGCTCACGCCATTGCCCTTTTATTACCACAATGCCAATGTGCTCCTGATGACACTCGAACTGATGTTCTCCCGCTGGACCATGATGCTCGGCGAAGCACCCCACGTCAGGACCGGCCGGTCTTGGGACCGGATGGTGGCCTGGGTGGTGGAAAGGGGAAGACGGGGGCACTCGGTGAGGTTTTTAGGGCCTTGCAACGATATCACGAGCTGGCCGATGATTCTCGATAGCTCCTCCGACGAGGAACCCTTACTTATGCGGGTTACTCGGACTGGGCGCGCGGTCGCCCTTCTCTGCAGAGGAGTGTGAGAGAAAAGCGCTCCTTGGGTTCTTGTGGCACCGTTTCCGCTGGCCACTCTGGCACAGGAAAGGTGTCTTGTCTCGGGGGCGCCGCCTGCCATCTAAGGGGCCTCCCTGACCCTGCGGGGTCTCCTTAACTAACAAAGCCTAACAAAGCCTAAGCCGGTCCTTTTGCGTTCGCCTGTATTGAACCGATGTTGAAAGCTGGGGTGTGTAGCTCAAATAGACCTCCCAGGCGTTCCGACCCCCTAAAGCCGAAAATAGACCAGTCTTGCTAGCGATCGGGGATCTCTTGGACTCAAAGCGATGAAAACCGCGTGATCGGATGAGTAAGTTGCTGTGCTCAGTTGCATCGCTCAGTTGCTGCTGCAGTTGGGTCCGTTTTGGACATATCTGAAGATCAGGAGTTTTGGTGAAGTGACCATTCATGGATTCATTACTCAACTCTTTCTTCCATGAGGTCTTCAGTATCTTTCATAGCTGCAGCGATGTGTTTGACGTGTTCTGGATGAGGGATACGTAGAAGATCCATGGTCTCTACAGGGTGACCTTGGACTTTGATCCATGTTCAAAGGTGGTGTTTTTTCGTCGTTCGCAGGTCCGCAACACGAGATGTCAGACCGCCCAGGAATGAAGAGCACTGCATCTTCCCGGTCTACTTCGCCTATTCGCATCCTGAAAGATGTTGGACTTGGGCACTAGGGATGTGATGCACCCTTGGAGGCCACACTTCTTTCCTTATTAAAGCTGTAGGGGCACATATCATCCGCTCTGGGAAATGAGGGCAGCATGGTTAAATCACTGAATTCTGGCTTGTTGGAAGCCGCCTTGCAGCAGGGACGCTGACTGCAGCCGAAGGGCCGGAAGGTCACCAAGGTCACCTCTGGGACCTTCCGACCTTCGCGAGCTGAGGTATCTCTACTTCAACTGGTACCTCTACTCCAAGATGGGTGTGTGGATCTATTTCTTCCTTGACTACAACAGGCCAGCGATGGCCAGCGATGGCTATCAATTTTTGTGCAACTCCCTCCCACCCACGGACTCCCAGCTGTTGCTCTTGCGAAAGGCAAGGGTCTTCCCATTCCAATATCATTGACATAAATATGATTAGATATGTAAATAGATTAATAAAGATCATAATATGTAAAACATTGTGAAGATAGTTTATTCTTTGATGTTTTGTCCTGTGTTGTCCTTCCCTTGGGAAGGCCATCCTCCGTCCCGGTGTGCCTTTTGCTTTGTGCCATCACCGCCGGCTCCTTCGACCTCGGAGCTCGTTTGGCCTCGGGGAGCGGATGAAAAGAGCGCGGAGCGCAGCAGACCGTCGTTTTGGATCGCCCGGCTGGTCGTTGGAGGTCCAATGGTATAAGGAATTGCACCGTGAGGGGGTTGGAGTTGGCAAATGTTGGCCAGGTGTTTCTTTTTTGTTCTATTTTTTGGAGTTAGGATGACAGTTGAACTAAACAAGAGGCGCGAACTCATGGACGGATGTTGCTCCTCATGTTGGTCAGTACACCATTATATACAAATATACACATGTTTTGCCAATCAGTGTTTGGCCCCGTTGGGTAGTCTTGTTTTTGTATATACCAACATTGAGCATGGACCCTTCAACAAAAAGAGCAAAAAACAATCTTTGGCAACACAGTTCAAAGAGAAGATTTGTTGTGTCATCATGTGTCTATTTGTTTCGACCATTCGAAAGGTTGCCGGTCTCTTCCCGAGTTCTTCGCCACGTCCAGTTCCGACCGGCCGGATACTCTCGGCGTTTGAACGGCGGAACGACACTCCGTTCACAGGAGCTGAAGGATCACTTCCGCCCGATGGGCGAGGTGAGCTTTTGCACCATCCATGGAGGTGCCGTTCTCGTCGGATCCCATGGAGGTCCCCGTGCGGGTGGACAATGGATGGACATAAGGACTTCATATGACAAAAGTATATATGATAGCATACGTTTAACTAAACCGTTAATTATTTGTTTTAACTACACGGACCAGACTCTAAACAGTTCTTGCATTTTTTGTTTGGAGCAACTTGAACACGATGAATTGTTATCAAATGTATTCAAATGTTATCAATGCTTCTGCGTGCTTTTCTTTTTTCAAGCTCTGAAGGTTTCAGCGGCATTCTCGCGAATCAATAGGGCTAGGTGGGAAGCATGTCGTATGGGCAAGTGAGCAGGTGTGAGCCTGGTGTGAGGCTGGACCTACCCCGATTGGCTCAGGGTGTCCAAACTCTACAGCCAAACTCTGACAGAGACAAACCAACGGTAGAAAGTACCGGAGTTCAAACGTGCCAGGTGGACTGGACGAGCCGCGGGTGTTTCACGGGTGAAACATCCGGACTTCCGGGACCGAAGCGACGAGATGTTTTTCGCTGTTACGGTCACCAACACGTCCGTTGGACGGATCGGTTTGGGATCGAAATATGCACCCAAAGGGTGATCGAAATGACCCACCTCTGGACCTGATCTTCATTGATCTTCCATCCGCATGCCACGGGATCCGCCCAGCCTCTCGCACGGCACGGGTGAGTTTCCTGGATGCCAAGCATGTGGGGGCTCTCGGTGAATGAGCGTGAGGCGGTGATGAAGCGGAGGGTGAAACTGCTGCGACCCAGTATGCGGCTTTGATGATGCATTGTATGTTCATTTTGTATCATTATGATCATTAGACTATAGACATCAAAGTAATTCTATATATATACATATATATATATCACATATATATAATATATATATATATATCACATATATATAATATATATATATATCACGTATATATAATCATATATATATATATTATATTTGTTTTTCTTTTTTTCATAATTAAGGAATTATAAGGTGTCCATTGGTTTCTTCTATCGGTCGAACAGGACCATGTCTGGTAGAACATGGCTCCTTCGAATACGATTCACCTTCACAAACTGGGTATGTTCATGTTTAAGTTTCTTTTTGAATCCGCACAGCTCTTGAAAGTAGGGCGGGTTTGGAGGTGCAAGGGCCGGTGACGAGACGGATGGGGCCCCTTTGGCTTGTAGGGATCGGATATCTCAGGTGTTGTGAATCACATCAGTGGGCATCCCAGATGCAAATTCCTTCACACTCTCCCAAACATGTTGCTCTTTGTGAGCAAGATTCAACGTACTTATCCCACTGGACTACAACCCAACCGTTGTTGTTACTCCCCGTAGACAGTGGCAGCCTTGGGGCTCGGGGCAACCAATGAGCCTGCAATTGGCAATATGTTTTTTATCGAACAGCCCTGCTGGACGTCAGAAGACCAAGATGTTTATCAAGCAACATTGATGGCAGAGCTGTGGGCTGGAGTTGGCGTACCGAGTGACCGAGTGAGGGAAAGCACTGGTCGAGTTGCAAAGAACATCATCATTTTGCGAGGACTTGAGCCCAAAGAGCACACAGTCAGACAGTCACATTTTGTCACAACAGATTTGTGTCGTAGTTGATTTGTCCAGTGACAGTGAGGTGTTGCTACTCTGATTGGCCCTCATACTCCTTGGATAGCCTCGGACATGTGCAATCTGATTGATCATGCTGGGTAGAGGCTTACATATCTTAAGCTCGCCCCCAAATACCCCCAAAATTCCAAACTGCAGAGCATCCTACTATATAGATCATGTTTCCATATGTTTCCTCACTCATCACGTCTCACTCAGGGGTCCTCTCCTCGTATTTGGTCGGTTGGAAGGGTATCTTTGGACACCACGGACGGCACCACGTCAGGCAGCTTCCGCTGTGAAAGACCTGTCGAGGTTCTCTTGTGTCGGATGGGACGAAGCACAGCGGGCTGGACCATCAAGCCATGGCGAAAGCCACCATGAAAAACCAAGAATGTGGTGAGTGTGTTTGGTTTGTGTAGTGGTTGTCCTTTTTTCGCGAATTCCCTTCTGGGGAAGATGTTTTTTGTGGGTTCCTTCATCAAATACAAAGGTTTCGCAGTTGGGGATAACAACAACCAACGCAGTTTTGCTTCGAAGGATCATGTTGGCACTCCCCAAGCACCTCGAACCCAGTCGAGTGGATGGAACTCCGGTCATCCACATATAGAAACACCGTCGTTCAACGTCCACGAGGAGAAAAAGGGCCTTCCGTGCTTCGACGCTTCGACGCTTCGACGCTTCGACCGTCGGAACTGAGACGTCACCCGACTCCAGCGACGGGACGCCGTCGCTGCAGGTCATACATTGACGGCTACAACCGTGAGATCAAAGTGTGCTGCATCCCAGAGTGACCAGCGTGATGGTGGTTCTTTTGGGGAACCCAGCGGCCAGTTTCTGGACTTAGATAGGTCATTTTCGATTTGATCACTACTTTGTATTTGAGCCATGAGCCATTCTGCCAAATCCCAAGAGAGACTTTACTGATTCATGCACTTTCTCTTCGGCACCAGATGGTGAAGAGGGAACCACGGACAGCATACGCAAAACGGGTTCGCTTTCATGGCACGTCCAGAAGCCCAGGACCGGCACCTCGAGTTCCTGCACGAGTATAGCATAGTCCTTTACATCACATGTTACAAACTGTTTTTTTTGGTGAAACATCAATTAGTTTCCCGTTGTTTGGGTTTCGAGGTAGGGATTGAGCATGCAAGGGTGACGGTAGCGGAAAGATTCACAGTTGCCTCAGCTACTACTCTACAAGGCAATGGAAGCGATAGAAAGGGCTGCCCATGTGAGGCCATGGAAGATTCGCAGAATTCCAAGAGAATGAAGAGTAAGGGTGACTTGCCCACTCTTTTGGTCACTCACCATGAATCTAAGAGAGACCTCTAACCACTCTAACCCATAAGTGAGGTTTGGATCAAGGAATTATCGGCGAGAGAAGGACGAGGCATCGGCATGAAGATAGATGATCATCTCCGATAATGGTTGCCTAGGCGATTAAGATACTTTAAGAGTAGCTGCATAGGCAAAGATAATATTTTGGGAGGGCGTGAGGGTCGGCATGGGGAGCTTACTGCAGTTGAACTGGCCACGCTTCCTGTAACAACACTGGTTGCAGAATGCTGACTTCCATTTTCTGCCGGAGTGTCCTAGCACGTGTGCTCTCAGGACATATCCCTATCACCGTTGTCAGACAGAGGCTGGAACCCTAGAAACTTTGCTACCTGTGGTCTCTCTTCACATCGTTTCTTTCAATTATGACAATCATTGAATCATCAATCAACCATGCCGCAACAGATGTGGCCAATCAACATCCATCATCCACAGGTCCATCAACATCCCGGCATCCCGTGTCTCTTTTGGGATTCCGAAATCGGACCACCGGGTGGGTAGGTCATGCTCCAAAAGAGAGAACAACCAGAGAATGTCACTTAGAGGGTCAGTCTTCTTCGAACAGAGATTCAGAGATTCGATGATATTGGTACCAATTCTTTCTCAAGTTATGGAAGATAGGGTTTTTGAACAGTCTTGTTTGTTTCTGATGCGGCGGACGTGGCTTTAAAACTCTTGACATCGTTGGAATGCTTGGGGATGTCCCATAGATGCACGACAACAAGATAATGAGATGCATAATCTGATATTGCAGAGGATTTCTGATAATGAGATACCTATAATGCACGACAACAACATATTGAGGATTTCTGATATTCCAGACGAGCAATGGAGAGCTCATTCAGCAACAGTAGCGTAAGCTATGCCGTTAACTTAAATGCCTTTGACTCAGCATGAGCCCAGCAATGCCAAATGTGATGCAAGTGAGCGAAAGAAGGTCCATGGTTTTTATTACAGTAGTCCTAAAATCCTAAATACTCTAGTCCCTTTCTCCCCAGATCTATTTTCGCCGATACACACCAGTTTGAATGCGCTTCATGAGCCTGCGAAAGTGAAAGGACAGCAACAGAATATATAGTTCTCAGACACAGAGTTCCTCCTTCGATGTCTCAACTCGCACCCCTGGCCCAACCAGTCCGGATCCGCACTGTGGCGGGAAGTGAGGTGCGGGTCTCCTGCCTAGACAAGGAGGTCACCGAAGAGGAGCTTCGAAAGTGGGAGGCCAAGAGCCTCCGAAAAGGACCGGAGAGCAAGACCAGTGGAGGGTCGATGGGGTCGTTTGGGGTTCCACAACATGGTAGTCATCGGTGTCATGGGTCACCAATCATCATGAAGGAGCGATTCTAACTGGGCGCCCGGAGTCTAAGCAATTGGGCTGGGACACTATTCTAAGACAAACATGTGCTGCAGATCAGATTTGGATATGCTGCTAAAGCCATGGACTTTGTCCAGTCATTGGAGGCCTGTTTTGACAGCCAGCTCCATGGGGAAAGTTGTCTCGGATTCCCTGCTTTTCTCCAGCTGCAACCAACGCATGGAAAAGCCTATCGGGCACTTGGAGAGCAACTGCTGACATCGGAACAAGGATCAACAGATGTTTGTGGATATCCTTTCACAACCACTGAAATACGTTCACGAACGGAATCCAAAGAGATGAACAAACTCATCCTCCTTGGGGATTGGAACGAGCCTGGCCCAGGCACTTCGAGAAAGCTGGTGCGGATGGGCCTTTGCGAGTCTTTCTTGTGTTGTCCCCACCGTGCGGAGCATGAGGGAACATATTCTTATAGGGCTGCAAGAACATCCTGAGATGTGGGTTGGGTTGAAGTGGTCAAACTGCATTGATATATCCCTAAGAATCAAGGACCCTCAAAGGTGAAGGTTTTGAGGGTCCAAACCCCTGCTATGCAGGGTCCAAACCCTCCATAGGAGGGTCCAATGATTCTTAGGGATATATCTATATTCATTACAGCTTCATCATGTTGAACATCGAAGTCGCCGATGTCGCTGATGTGCTGGTCGCATGCCCTCAGATGGAATCGCCTCTCATCGGATGTGTTCAAGGTAAAAAGGTGACGAAAAACATATAAACACACAGCCTCTGCCCGATACATGTCCTGAAAAGCAGAATTCCAGGGAATTCCCACCAGGACCATCCTGCTTGGGTGTCATGTCTGGAGATCTCTAAGTAGTGAGCTGGGTAGTCCAGCCAGGACACCCAGGCAGGATGGTCCTGGTAGAAGTTTTCTGGAGACGACCCGTTGAAGGGCAAAACACAGCTGATGGATATCGAACTCGTGCCTGGACCTGTCGGAGATGCTTCTTGACTCAGCCAAGCTGAGCTTTGAACTCCAGTCCATACTGCTGGAGGGACACTTATATATATATATATAGATAGAAAGTAAATCCCCACACAAAATGCATTGGACACCGTGCCAGTATCTATTTGGGACCCCTCTACGTTTGAAAGGAAACCTCGTTCAGAACACCTGGAAGGTAGCTGTGTTGGGTGAAGTTGACAAAACAACTTGAGCCCATCACACAATCATCACATACTGTGCTGTTTTGGAATTCAATGCTGTGCTGAGTCGACTTCATGACGCATTCTCCGTGGGAAGTTAGCTCTTTTACCAGTCAGGCCAACACCTACGTATATTTTAAAACAACGTAAAATAATCACACATATAAAAAGGAATCAGATATGTCATTTGTCATCTTGCTTCCAAACACACACACACATATATATATATACACATACATATAGTGTGTAATGATGGATAATGGAAGCAGTGATGGCTGCACTCTGTGGTTATGTGGATATGAGAACTCTTGATGGCTTCACCAATCACCCAATCCAGAGTGACTAGAGATGCGTTCAATGCACAGTGCCGGTGGCCCCTGATATGCAAATGCCCCAACCCAGCCGCTTTTGAGCTCAAACAGCTACACATGAGACCATGTACTTTGAAAGTATGGATGGACGCCCGAAACACAGAAGATTCTAAACACATATATAACCTATATTAATATCAAAAAGGAACCAAGTGGAAAACCCTAGTTTTGCTACTTTTTCCGAAAGTTGCTCTGCTTTTGAAGCACTACAAGTAGATAGAGGTCCATCAGCATCATTAATGTAGCGTGTCTCCGACCCCCGCCCTGGCTGCCTCATCACACCTGCTGCCGGCTCAAACACCGCCAGGCTCAGTGGACGAGGTGGAATTCATCACCGAAGAAGTGCCACCGGAGTTCAAGGAACACATTATTTTGTAGCCAAAAAAGAGCTGCGCAGCAGTGGCTTCGGCGCTTCGGCCGCTTTTTCGCTCTCTTTCCTTTGCGCTTAGTCAGTGCGCCACACTTGAGGAGTGTAGTGCCAAAAGACTGCAGTGGGATGGCGTAGGACAGTATCGACGAATTCGGGCTGCTCACCATGTTTTGAGTTCTATCCTTGTTGTCTTCCTTCACCAATAATATATACTCACTTTGTTTCATACATGGTATTCTGGTAAGAAGCGAGCCAACATCGCAACACACAGGCAACGATTGTCAGCAAAACACACTGGCAACAAATTATAAAACAGAAAGGAGCGCTCTGAGCGGCGCGTTTTTGCATTGTTTCATTTTGTTTGTATTTTGTTTCTATATTTGTATTGCGTTTCTATTGATTTTTGTGCCACTGAAAGAATACTATTCTGCCTCAATCCCCCCCCTCCCCCAAAGGTAATTTCCAAAATTCCAATTTTCCAAAATTCCAATTTTCCAAAATTCCAATTTTCCAAAATTCCAATTTTCCAAAATTCCAATTTTCCAAAAAACCCAAAGAAACCAAAAAAACAAAAAAACCAATTGTGCCAGGACTTTGCCTCACCCCCTCTTCCCCCCATGGTCTGTGCAGAATTGTTTTTTTTGTTTTTTTTGGTTTCTTTGTTTTTTTTTGGAAAATTGGAATTTTGGAAAATTGGAATTTTGGATTTTTTGATTTCCTGGGATGTTTTAAATTTTCAATTTCCTTGGAAGTAGACAATACTACCACTTTCTCTCAAACCCAGAACAGTCTCTGAAACCCTCAGTGATTTGTTCATTAGGGTCTAATAATGCTCCTTCTGCTCCTTTAACTCGAAAATTGGTAATACCTGACATTTTAGAATTATAACCAGTAAAATTGACATCTGCAATTGACATACCAATAATGAATTTGTTCTTTCTGTATTGACGATACGAAAAACTTAAACTGTCATGTACTGTATAGCTCTTCTTAAATAGTAAAAGATTTATGATAATGATTGCGCTTCAAATTCTGTGTATTTCTGGGAATTGCTTAATTGAATTTGCCAACTTAAACTACGGGTGGCATCTTGAAAACCTTTGTACCTTGTAAGTCATTTGTATCAGCATTACCAGTATCATTAATTCTTCCATAGATCATAGGATTAATTCCATCTCTTATATACATAATTGTCAGGTAAGTATCGGTTCAGTTCTTCACCACTCCTTGGAGTTCTAAATAAGGTAATGAATGCTCCAGTCAGTTTAGAAGATGATTTTACACTATTCATATTAATTTCACCACCACCAGCATTGAATGTTTGGGTGATTGTGTGATAACAATTTGTAATGTTTCTTATCTTTGCCATTCCGCCCCCCTTCTATGTCCTGCCATTCTAACACTCAATGGCTGACAAGTAGCACCAATATAGACATCGTCATTTTGTCATTTAGTATTCTGTAAAATTTTGCCTTGGAGTAATCCACCATAACATTACATATTTTAACTAAGTTTAAATGTTGTTTTTTAAATGAGTGATTGGGGTTAAATCCATTGCTTATATTGGTGCCGGGATTGATGTTCCAAAGGCCGTTCCCTTCAAAATTGATATAGCTGTGGCTCATTAAAGGGTTAGGTTCTTTCAAATCAGAAGTTACAGCGTAACCATCCAACATTGAAACAATATCGGATGGATTGAGGTAGTCAAGTCTTTTGGGACTTTTGTTCCTTTCCTTTTTGTTTTTATTGTAGGGGTAGCATAGGTTGTTGTAGCAAATGTATTAGGTTGTTCTTGATTGATCTTATTACAGCACTTGCAAGGTTATGCCCAACCAAACGGGTTATTTCTGGTGACTTTTCCAATTCTTCTATAACATGTTTGTATTTCTCACTGTGATGAACATTTCTAGTAGGTACTAATAACAGATCATCCATAATATCCCTTGTTAAAGATCCATCACAACCACCTGTGCCACTTATGTATAAAGTCTTACTTGTTTTGTAAAAAGCACTTGGTGATGAATAGGCATTCCATAAGCCCCTGCGGTCTTCTATCTTCTCCTTGTTTGCTATATTTTTCTCTTCAGCATATAGTGTTCTATGTTGTTTAAAGTGATCATTTAAGTTTCTTGTAAAGTCATTCATTCTATCATTCCAATTTTGGTTCTTTTTTTTCATAATCACTGTAGGTTTCTTGACCGATCTTACTGAATAACATCTGGGCGCTTCCAGGCAGATCCTTCCAGGCAATGTCAGACACATCAATCATTCTCAAGAAAACGCATGAAAAAGGTTGAAAAATGCTCATTTTCATCGAAAAACGCGCCGCTCACAGCGCTCCCCTCTCTTATAAAAATGCTGGTTGCTTTCTACACCTCCTTTGAAGTGGCTTTCTTCGCTCCAACTCGGCTCGAGAGTTCACCGCGGGGGAGCGGCAGGCGTGGTGTAGCAGCCGGCTGCCGGATGTTGGATGACCGGAGTTGTTTATTGCACCCTTTTGAAGCATGCTATTAGGTTAGAGGCCATCGCTATTAGGTTTGAGGCCATTGCTATTTGGCTGGAGGCCATTGCTGTTAAAAAGGACTCTTTAGATATCTTTAGATTGCTTTTGTGTTTAAATGGATTAGACAGCATACCGCTGCAGATTCCTATGAAGGCAGCTCGTTTCAGTGTTGACCCATTGACCTCTTACTTCCGGTGCGGGTTCAGGCGGGTTCTCTGTATGCCTCCATGCATTCCTGCATTTCTGCACCATTCTGTCCCCGTGTGAAGCACAGGGAGCGCATGCACTGTCAGCAGACCCGAAGTGGAGCGCTTTGACTGGTAGCAATGACGATATCAATGCATATATATAATGCGGCGGACCACCACATAAAATGAACTATGAGGTATGGCACTGCTAGTTCTTTAAGATTCCTCCAGCATGCTTGGGACGGAACAGCCAATCCATGAACCCTTCCGCGCCATTCGTTGCGCCAGGGGGCGGCTTTGCTGGCCAACCATGGGCCAGATGCTTAGAGCGTTCCCACTGTGGGCAGATGGAAACTCCCTTGTTGATGGGGCGCGTCTTTGCTGGCCTTGTGGGTGGCTAGATTTAGATTGTTGGGTGCTTGATCAGCTGACATACACATCCCATCACATCCCCCGTGTTTTGCAGGGTTTTGGGTTTGGTTAGTCTTTCCACTGTATTGCAGGGGTACCAGAGGTCTTTTCTTCCATGAACTTCAAACAGCATCCTGTCATGCTTGCCGCAACAGGGTGTTCGCTCTATGACTCTATGACTCTTCCACCGACGCCAGGGCTGGTGAGGTCGATTTGCGTAAGTGGACTCCCAGCTCAACAAACTAAGAGCTCCCTTTCAGTCCCTTTGGAATGGATGCATGTATGAAAGACATCCACTGGTTCAAAGTAATCGCTTTCTGAGCCATCTGATGATTCATCGTGATTCCAATCAACCACATTGCCGCAGTATCGGAATGATAAGAAACAATTTGCTCAGAGGCACTTTCTTGGAACATGACAGAAGTCCTTCATGCCTTGGAAATCTCAAGGACGCTATTAGGTGGAGGCCATCGCAAGTAGGTTGGAGGCCATCGCTACTAGTAACAAGAAGCTACTAGTAGCAAAGGGCATCGCTACTAGGAGCAAGGACGCTACTAGTAGCTCCTGGCCTAACTACTAGTAACAAGAAGCTACTAGCAACAACGATCGTAAGATCATTTCGGATTTTTGAGACTCGAGACACGTCCCCGAGGCCGCACGAACGTGCGGGTCGTGGCGCGAGCGCGTCGGAAAGCTCGGAGACCGTTGCTTCATCATTCGGCGTTGGAATCCTCCAAAAGTGTCGCTGATTCTCATGCTGTACTTGGGGGTACGCATTTGGGTACCCATTTCAGTGATGTTCCATTATCAATTGCAGGGTTGCTGAATATTTTGTTAGCCAGTATTGATTGATTGTAATGGGCGGCACATACAGAACATCTCATGTGGCCGACACAGACGGTGAATGGTGACATCTTGTATGTGTGGAGACGGGCCACTGAAAGGGGCCACTTTGATGAGGATGTCACAGGATCTCCGTATTGACGCAGTTGCTGTTCCAAAGCAGCTCTGAAGGAGCCCAGAAAGCAGCTCCAGGAGTAGCTCTGGGTGTTTTTGTGCACTTTACCAGGAAGGTCCGAGCTACGAAGAAGCAGCTTCTGCTGTTGTCCTCGAGTTTGTCATGTCCGCTCAAGAGCATACAGCTTCAGGGTTGTCACGTCACGAAATTCCAACGTGGTCACAGACATTGGATTCATTGGATCAACAAGATCTGTGACCACCGGGTCCGGACGTTCCGAAACCACGTGAGGTCCAACCTCCTCCTTTGCCTCGGATGTCTTCAAGTTCAATGAGGCCTGGTGGCCCGTGGCCACCGTGCCAGCCCCGTGGCCCCTGGCGGGTCGTGGGATGTTGGGGTGATTTGGGGTCGAAAGGCACACAGCAAAAGACTCGTTGGGCCTCCGTTTTGGTCAAAAGTACTCATAATATATATTACAGTAGTGTGGAGGTTCTGGGGTATGAGCAAGATTGAGCAAGCGCTATAATTTTCCTTCCTTTCCTCGATACCCATCCCTCACGTGGTGCTTTTTTGGGAGTTGAATCATAGTCATAGATGGCAGTGGGTCAAAACCCAGAGCCCCAAACGGTAGATTGACATCCCGTTTATTCTGTTCATTTTCGGAGTGTCAACCAGGTCGTTGAAAGACCCACAGCCTCCACAGCCTGGGCCTCCCACTCGGGTGCCACTCGACGGCGATCCAGGCGGCAGACAGCATCGACATGCGCTTGCCCAAGGACGAGTCGGCGGGACTGGCCCCTTGGCGAAAGCATCCTGTGCCGTCCTGTTTTGGCAAAACCGGCTTTTGTCACGTTTTTGACCCGGTGGCCTTGAAAAAGCCGCGCCCAAAGAAAAGGGGTCCCTTTAGTCCACCTTGGTTTTTCGCCCTGGAAACTGTGGCAGACCCGGACCTGGAGACTGTGGGAAGCCACTCTATGTGTCCTCCGATGTGGTTTCAGATGTTTCAGTGGGCGATTTTAAGACATGCCACTTGGAGCATTCTTTCAAGTAGAATCCTCAGCTCTACTGCCAAAGAAAGATGTTCTTCACACATCCGTCGCATCTGGAGGGAAGTGGCAACGGCATCTCGAGGTTTTCCAACTAAGCCTCTTGAGCTGCCCAGGTCAACAATCAGCAGGAAACTTGGCACTTCAAGCTGGACAAGGCCAGGACAAGTCCAGGTGGATAACAAACACCAAAAACCGCATGTTTTCTCAAAGCCATAGAAAACCTAATGAAAAACCCAATCTGCTTCGATGGTTTTCATGTTCTGTAAACACCGAGTCTGGGAGGCCGACCGACGCCCCCCGGTGGAAACAAGCGGTGGTGTGGGTGGTTTAGTCGTGGGTGGTCTTGGCATCAATCGGACTCAGGTCCTCTCGAATGGAAGCCAAGAGCAGATCTTCGAGATTTGTGCTGCGGCGGGATCCAGAGAAACGTCCAAACCGGTGGTGGACCTTGCCGGCGGAATTTGTTGTGTGAATCACAGATCAATGATGCTTTTATTATAATATATAACTATATATTTACATACAAGCTCGCCCCCAAATATGTTTCATTGAACCGTAGGCTTTTGTCAAGACAAGCATTCCGCCAGATTATGCTTGCATTCTGGGAAGTCTTGTTGACTGGATTTATAGTGCAGCTGAAGAGGTTTGGTTCAGGATGATTTATATAGTCAGTGTGCAGCTAGGTTGCCTCAAGATCTTTCTCCAGCTGTCACCACTCACCACTCACCACTCCACCGGAGCTCCACGAGCGATCCGAGTCCGCCCCAGGATGTCGTGCGATCCGTGATGGATGGATACAATGGAACCATCTTGGCCTACGGCCAAACGGGCGCCGGGAAGACTCACACGGTGGGCACGGCACGGGACGGGCACGTCGACGCACCGGAGGGGAAGAGGGGAGACACGGGCGAGTGGAGGGGAAGAGGGAAAGAGGGCGAGGGCGACACTGACTGGGAGATCGGGGATGATGGTTTTGGGATTTGGGGATTTCCATTTTGGATCCAACAGAGGAGGCAACAGAACCCATGAATTGGAAGGACACATTGATAGTTCAGTTTCATCGGATGCACAACACTTGGAGAAGGATGCAGGCTGGCAATTAAGAACCTTCTGGGTACGGGGGAGATGAGAGTGTTGCCGAATTTTACCTTCAACAACTGCCCTACCAATCGTTGAGGAGGTGGTGTATTCTGGATACTCAGCTAGTGCATGCGGAGGTGCCGTCCTTGTCTCAAAGATCTTACCCAGATGCAAGGGGTCGCTGTGAAGTTTCGTGCAGATCCAAGGGGTCGCTATATAGAGGAAACCCGAAGTGGAGACGTCTCCACACAGAAAAAAAAACCGAAGTGCGAGATGTTTTTGGGATCCGAACACCAAGAGCAGATTCTACCACACTTCCAAACACCTCCCAAGATCGCACCGCACCGCATGTGCGGTGTGAATCCGCATCCATTCCACATTTCCAAAAAATTGGCACCACCCTGCCCCTGCCCTCGTTCTCACCCCCCATGCCTACCTCGCCGCCTGCACCTCGGACAGATGTCGGGCGGCCACATGGGCTTCGCCGACCGGGGCATCGTGCCGCGCGCCATCTCGGCGATCTACGCGGAGGTGGAGGGTCGGTGGTGGGAGACGGAGAGGTCAAGCTGGAGGGCAGAGGTGGGTTTGGATCATTAAGTCCAGCACCTGCAGGCTTTGGATGATAAACTCTAAAGTGGTGGGGAAGTACAAGGCATTGTGGGTTTGGATCTATCATGACATATTTTATATGACATACTGTAAATTATGACAATGGATCACAGTGGCAGCAATGCAATTCTTTGCCCAATTTGTAGGGATTCTACTATTTTTGGCAAGTACCAGTAGCTACCGGAAGAAGTTTACTCCGTTTTTCATTGCTTGCCCCATGATGGAAGAGTGGATACCCTGATAGAACAAGTATGAACAAGTATATATTGGATGTTGTAAAACTATTTGGGGCCTGTAGACCGAGGGTCCACTTACCAGCTAAGTTGGTTGCCTGGAGGCCGCAGGTGGTAGCAAGAGAAACACCATGAAACAAATAGCTCATGATCGATGCAACCATCAAACCTGTTTGTGTTGTTACAAGTGACGACCTCCTCGCAAGGGATGAGTGGGATGAGGGGAGTGGAGCGTTTGCATGTTGGTGCAAGGAAACACTCAAGAGGCAATCACCACAAAGATGCTGCCGGAGTTTTCCATCCTGGAGTTGACTGAAGACTCAGAAGACTTCCACTTGCCTGTAGCAAGTAATGATTCCAAAGTGGAGCATCAGAGCAATCAGAGTGTGTGGCACTTGGTATCCGGATGGGTGAAGGTTTCCTTTGGCTTGAGGACCCCAGGTGGTGCATCGTGTTCATGCCAATGATGTCCCTGTCACACGCAGGATTCTCCATGGTCTATCAGGTGCCTCAATCAGATGAATCTTCTCCCCTTGGACCGTTTTCTTCTTCTCTCAGCACCGACCGCTCTTTCCCACAAAGCAACAGCCTGATAAGCTCGAACAGACCGAGACGGGAACTGTCCGACAGAGTTTGCAGGCAGCAGCCCGACCTGAGAACAACATTACCATCAAGCTCTCCTATGCCGCTTGGATCAGATGTTCAAGATCCCGTTTGCAATCAGTGTATTTCCTTGGTTGGCTCAGGGTGATGTTATTTTCCCAATGAGTTGTATAATCCCCTTCTGAGAATATTGTTCTTTGTTTCCCGGTCCCAGCTTTTTGGTTAGTCCTGGGGTAGGTAGTGACAAAGTGCATGCTGTGAAGATAGATTAGTTGGCAAGCTAGACTTGGTCACAAAGCAGAGGAATTTGGAGATGGATTGAGGGGAGATGTGAAAACTGCGCAGGATTCACCGTCGTGTTTTGTTCGTTTTCGTCTTTGTTCACCGGCCTCCACCGGCGCGGCGGAGCCGAGAGGCGGTTCAACAGATCTGCACGTGCACTGACCACATCTGACCATACGCATGTCTTGGAAGCTCCAAGTTTGCAGCCTCACAGCATCCAAGACTCGCCGCATCTCTCACTGCCCTTGATTGGAAACTTTGCATCTCAGCTGACGCAAAGTATACAGGGCCGAAGGGCCCTTCGTGACGTTCATATATATATATATACATCTCAACAACGGAGTGACGGTGAAGGTGGCATTCCAGACGGTTTTCTGTTTTTGGTTTTTACCGTTTGGTTTCCACCGGCTTCGTTCTTTTTTACGTCAAGCAAGGTGGAGATCTACAATGAGCTCATGTGCCGAGCTGAGGGGGAGATCGGCCACGAACGCGGCCAAAGTTCGAAACGGTGAACGAAAGTCGCAGGGTGCTGAAAAAGAGTGCAACAGAGGTTTTTGTTCAACGGTTTTGTTGAAGGTTGTGATTCATGAATCCGGTGCTCAAACGGTTTTATAGTCCAACATCAAAGTGGCTTCAGGATTGACTAACTGGAGATGATGAATGAGCTCAAACTCTGTGGCCCAGCAATGTTCAGAAAGTCCCACGAAACCGGTCCAGAGAATAGTATCGAATCACCTTATTTCACTCAGAAAAGTCCCACAATTCCCCAAGACTTCCATGATCACCACATGGTTGACCTGACAATCACCACTTCCATGATCATTCCCACGAAAAATCCGTCACTTGGTGATGATCACCTGCAAGTTCATCACCCCACGTTCCTGCAACTTCCTGAAAATCATGGTTGTATTTTGTCCATCACCCCAAGTTCCTCGGAGGTTTGACCTGCTGACGGATGTTGGAGTGGCTGAGCAGAGTGGTGACCTCTCCATTGTGGAGGACTCGCGCGGGAATATCCAGGCTTGCGGCAAGGGTGGCGGCGTTTCGCACGGCAAACGACATGTTTTCTGCGGTTCTTTTTTGTGCCCCCCAAAACTGACAGACCCTGCAGGCTTACACACCTTCATGCAGACCACATATATAACTAATTATAACTATAACTATATGTTCCAATTATCAAATTGGCACATCTTGAGGAACGTCTTGAGGAAGCTTTCTTTTCGACGGTCAAACTGACCTTCCCAACGGCTTTCACCCGGGAAGAGACGGCTGAAGAGACGGGACCACGGCAGGTGCGAGGCCTCACAACGCCGGTGGGAGGGACCGAAGAGGAGGCACGGTCCACCGGTGGGCAGGTCGACAGGTCGGCGGTGAAGAGGATGTCAGTGATCAGGGTGAAATAGAAGTAAACCCGAAGCCCTAAAACCCAAATGAATCCAAATGATATACATATAATTGACTTGCAATTTACAATATATTATATATATTACAGTATGTAATTACTGTATATATTGACATGGATGTGGGTGAATCTAGGAATTCCATGTCAATATGGGATCGGTTGAAATTGGCCTCTATGTAAAAGTGAAGATTGCCATTGAAATCTTTAGGGCAGAACACCCGCGGCCGTTATTCTGTATATATTCTGGAAGCTTACTCTAATGGTTCGGAGGCTCAAACTGCTCTGAAGGAGGCGGAGTCAAGTCTGACAAAGGTAGCCCCACCAGGTTGACGATGGTTCTTTCGCGGAACTTTTTTCCTCTGTCCAATCTAGTCACAGTCCAAAACCTTCGACAAAAAAGGGGGAATTGAGCTTTCCTCTTCAATCAATGTCGGCCAGACTTTCTTCTTCCATGTTTCTTGGACTTTTTATGGTAAAGGCTTTTTGATGGCTTTTTGTGGCAGAGACATCAATGTCAATGCCAAGTTGCTGGGCAAAGAGCCACGCACTTGGTTCTCCGCGGACTGCAGTGCAGCACTCCTTGCAGTCCTCACCTCGCCCAGGCCCTTCACATCTTCTTTCAGGGGGACACCAACCGCCATGTCGCTGAACACGCCCTGAATAAAGGGTCCAACCCCCTGGCGGTTTCATGGGGGGGGCGCGTGGCGAAAAAGGATGGGGAGCCACGGCACACTTTGGAGGCATTCTTTTTGGATGGGAAGCATCAAAAGTTGTAAGACCTCACTTGAGAGAACTTGGCTGATGTTGCTTCTGATTTCAGTGTTTTTGGATGCTTTTAGTGTATAGGCTAGGCATGGCGAGGCCATCCCTTGCCTTTCTTACATGGATTGGATCGTCTTCAGTTCATCTTAATTCTGCGAGTTCCAGTGGTCTTTTGAGGTCGCGATGTTCCTCGTGACGGCATGGTTGCGAACCTCTTGTGGGTTGCCTGTAAGTACATCCAAAATCGAATGCTTGAATGAGGAACTTCTTTTCTCTAACTCTACCCAGAGAGAAAGCACCATACAATACATATGATATCATATGATTCATGATACAGTTAGAACAACCTGCACCACTGGGCCTGATCGTCTTCTTCGAAATGCAGCCACCACCGAAACGACTTTGACATTTGATGGCTATATAGAGTCGATCAGACTCGCAAGGAATATTTCGAGGGACAAAAAGAGGAACGACGTTTCGACGTTTCCTCGGTGTCATGAGTATTGGGAATGTGTTCTCGAGTAGCTGCTCCTCTTTGGTTTCATTGTGTAAGTGGAAGATATGGGAATCCATGGGAATCCACTGACCTTTGGGCCGTGTATGTGGCCTGACACTGAGGGATAAGATGTTGCTCGTTTGGGGTGGAATTTGCGCAGGTCGATCTTTTTGTGGAAAGAGTGATGTGTACCGTAGCACAGGGTGTGCATGTGTTCTGCCTTTGCGCAAGTAGCATGATGGTTTTACACAAAAGCAATGCACATTCAGTATCATCTATATAGGCATGACAACATATATTTGGATCTTATCTCGATCACTCTCAAGAGTCTCACCCCTCCCCCAAAGGCACAATCAGTCATATGATGTCATATCTCACCTGTTATCTATCCAAAATGCGTCACACAACAACAACAACGACTACGACAACGACGACAACGACGGTGACATCTGTCTCCGGTCCTGTCCGCCGCGCCGCGCCGTCTCCGCGCATCACTGCGGCGCGTTCGGCGCGGTTCGTTGGTGCGGGGGCTCCTGAGGTCCACTCGCTCTCATGTGGTCTTCACCATCTACGTGGAGAGTCGCTCGCGGGTGGAGTCTTCCGAGAAGGCGCGGCGGACAAACCGTCCGCGGTGACCGCGGGTTTCACGCGGTTTCAGGCAGTTTCAGCATGTTCGGCCGGCTCTGATAAGAGTATTGTAGAGGAAAAGAGTCGGCCAGTGCTCAATTGTTTTGAATGTTGATCGATATATATATATATAGTATGTGAGCTTCCTATGGCCGGGGGTGGGATGTAATCAAATGAATCAACTATACACTCATTTTGAAATCGGAAGTAGTTGTACTCGCGTGGGCAGACAGGTCAGGCAATGCAGACAACACAATTCAAAATCGGAGGCTATGCCACTGTGGTGACAGAAGCGCAGAATCCCTGTACCTAAAAATTCAAACCTGCCAATGGCAAGAGAATGTATGGCATTTTGACCTTCTAGAATCAGAAACGATGCTGGGGTTCTTGCTCTGTAGATAAACCATGATAAACCCAACTAATTACTAGAACAAAACTTCAGACCTCGTTTTTGACACTGGTATTGGAGGATCTCCTCCTTTGATAATAGGTCTTGAGCCACTTTCTAGACTATCAAAGCATGACATCAGACGAATCAAAAACTCTTCAGCTCCTATCATTTGAGCATGTGTGCTTGCCGTGGATTTCATCCAAGAGGATCTACTATTTTGTTTACACAGTGGTCCCTATGGATCCAGGGAGCCCGCTTACGAGTCCATTGTGCCGACCGGAGTCTTCGTTTGTCTTCCAGACTCGGTGTTTGCCACGACCCACCAGACGGTGCCACGCCACGCCACGCGACCCACCGCGTCCTTCACACCACGACCCAGCGGGTGGTCACGAGGTGATTTTTTCCAAGTTGCACTTGGTCGACCTGGCCGGCAGTGAACGGTTGAAGAAGCCCCTTGGCCGCCTTGGGCCTTGCCGATTCGGCGCCTTTTTTCGGTGGCATGGGCCTTGGTGCTTTTCAAGGGAGGTGGGGTCCTGAAAGTGAAGGGTCGAGTGATGTGGACACTTTTGGCGGTGCTGGGATTGCTACAGAGTAATACAGAGTACTGTTTGACTAGGCAAAGATACATAATTAGACTTGCTTGTGCAAGGGATTAGTCATATCGTTACGTATCCAAAACACACACGGGTTTCCTCAACTCGTGTTGTGTGTTGAGGTCCGGGGAGGTGTTGACGGCCAAACCGGGCCTCCATGCTCTGGAGGGAACACCAAGTTGGCTGATGGTCCTTGCTTTGGGTGCCTCAAAGCCATTTTCAGCGCCATGATCAACTGCTGCTTTGTTTGCGGTGACTTAGCCGCCTCGCGGGTGAACTTTGAGGCAAACGTATGCCGCCTCAAAGTGTTTTACTTCCGTTTATGCTCATTTATATATGTTCTCTCATGGATGATTTTTGCCGAACCCCGAAAACCTTAAGTCTTCAAATCACAACCTCAAGCGCGACAGGTTGTGTCCCTCTTCCAGAAAGTGGACGTGTTCTTTTCATGTTTCCCTCGACTCTCAAGGGAAACATCATCCCAGTCTCAGCTCCGAAACAAGCGTTCCAGGTCAGTCTGGGGGTTGTTCATGCATCTGGAAATGACCCGACAGAAGAAGATGAAGACGTTGGATGTTATCTGATTAATGCTGTAAACATAATAAACAGTGTCAGCAATATGCAGCATAATCAGAGAGCATCCCATTTCTTTTGTTTGGTCTTTCTTTTTCTGTTTCTTCGCCGTACTCCTCTCGTGGATCCAACGAGTCTGTTCCGCGGCGAACCTGCACCGACCCGAAGCCTTCGACCTCTGGGAGGTGGTCGACTGCATCTGAGGACTGGTTCAGATGGCGTGATGCTGAAGGAGGTGAGTGGAAGTCGCCCACTTTGGGCCTTCCGGATATTTGATGGCTACCATTCAGCTATAACCAGAAGGCAACTCACAACTCATTACCCTCCCTGCAACAATCATGGAAGTGGACAACCCCCTTCTTGGTAGAGGAAAATCGTCTTCCAAGGGACCACTGTCCACTTCCAGGATTGTTTCAGGGAGTGTAGTAAATAAGTCGATCGCAGACATGACGGCTTCACTCGCATACAGGAGTCATCACGTTCCAAACCTCGTCAACGCTACCGCTACTGAGACACCTGAGACACTGAGATGTTTCTTTTCACCATGTTTCACCATAGTTCCTCAATGCTTTTTGATGGCGAGGCATCTTTTTACACGCTATTTGCACGTGATTTGCGGGAGAACATCGTGCATTTGGGGGTGGATATCGAATCTTCACTTTGAAGCTGCGTTGAATCTTCACACCTTCGTACCGTGACGGTCACGGCACGCCGCGTTACGCAGGCCACGTTTATCAACAAGTCCTTGACCTTCTTGGAGCAGGTCGACCGGTGAAGCGACCCTTCCTGGGGTGGCGACCTGTTTTTGTTAGAGAGATGTTTTCTTGAGATGTAGAGGGATGAGTAGGGTGGATGGACACTGAAAAGCCATTCCACTTCGGAGCAGTCTAGCAATTTCTACGTCTAGACGCTGTATGAGTCTGGCAGGGCATTTCTTACACTTTCCATCTCCATCGCGCCACCAGCACCGTGCAGTGCAGGTGGTTGTGGCACTGGGGAGCAAACACCGAGACCACATTCCGCCACTTGGCCGGTCCCTATCGGGTCGATCAGTCGTTGGCAGTGGGACGAGTGTGGGACCGGGGGCGGTGGAGTTCCAACTTGGAGCTTCGGCCATTGGCACTGAGGTATCGACAGTCAAAGCTAACGCATATCCTGAAGGACAGGGCTATGCGCTGCTGAGAGGTGCTGAGAGGTACAGGCAATTACTGGCACCAGAATTACCTGACGAGCCCGAGCTGCATGAGCAGCTTGAGCAGTCGTCCTAGCAGGTTCTAGTCCTAGCAAGCCTCCTTTGGTCCCCGTTCTTTGCTAGGACTCCTTGGGTGGCAATTGCAAGACGACCATGGTGGCGAACATTTGGCCGGAGGTACCGTCCTGAGATTTGTACTGAAGCGGCCGAGGGTCGACGGAGTGTGGTACCACTTGGAAGGGCGAGAGGAAGTGTTCCAGTTGTGTATGTAACACACATTTAAACAAAACTAACCCCTTTCTGGTTGATGTGGCTGTTTGAAGCAGACCATTTTGGAGCTACTGACTCTGACCCAGAGCCGTGTGTAGGTCTTAGCTCAAAGACTTAGTGACACGGATACCCGGAGGCCACTACTAAGTAAGGCTCTCGAGTACCCCCGTCACACTTGTGTAATCGATTTATAATTCTTCGACAAAATTGAAGTGTGGAGGCCAAGATGGTGGAGGAGACAGCCAGCACCTTGCGCTTCGCCACACGCATGATGAAGGCGGGGATATTTTTCGGCCTACGTGTGCCTGTGGTGTTCGGCTGAACCTGAGACAAACATCGCAAATCATTGCGTATCCTAGTACCTGTGTGTGTGATCAAAAGATCACTTGTACAAGTAGTGTATTTAGATTTAGACAACGGTTAATATATAGAACGGAATGATGCAGGCATTTGAATCAACAGTATTGTTGGTGACCGGGGGTGCAGCAATCTTTGATCCCTTTCATGTTTGATATGTTTGCTGAAGAAAGAATCGATCCCAATCTGGTGAGGTCAAGACAAGAGTCAGTGCGTTGTTTGAGGGTAGGTCTTTTCATTCATGACTTCCTTGTGTAAGCACCCGTGTTCCCCTTCACGGTCATCCTTGAAGCTGGTGGGTCCGAACATCACCTCAGTGTGAAATCCATTTTTCATATGTTTCTTGTTCGCCCGATACGCTGATCCCGCACATCTCGCAGCACCAGAGTTCAATCGTTGGGGTTTTGCGCGGCCGCCGGTCATGCCAACGGGCATGGCGCCATGTCAGGTGTCGAATGAGGCCTCAGTGAACGTACATTTGGATCCACAGTTGCTGATTAGGATCGACCTGGGGAATTGGTGTTTCTTCGTGGGCTGCTTCACTCGGACACAACCGAGTGCTGGAAAAAGAACGAAAAAAAAGAGGGCTCAGCCAGCTGGGGCTCGTTGTGGCTCATCTTGTTGATTTAGAACATGAACTACTGACCTGGGGGGACCTGGGGCAGATGTGGGCTGACCCACAGCCGTATCTAGAAGTGGGTAAAGAAGAAGCTGAGTATGCATGAACAATGATCAGCAAATTCCCTGATATTTTTGCTGAAGAATCAAATGGTAGTAGGAGCAACTGCATTTGACCATTTGCCAAGAGGTCATTACAGTAGAAAAAACAGGTTGATGACCTGAACAAGTTCAGAATGCTGACGCCCAAGTTAAGGTCATGAAAGAGGTCCTAGTACCAAGTTGCTGTTTGGTGCTGTTGAGGTGTGAACCGTGCCACTTAAAGCTCTTGAGTCCTCAACGCGATATATATATATATATACACATCACATTTGCGATCTACTCATATCCAATGTTACTGTGTATATATATATATAGCCCGAACCGTCATTGGATCCTGCTATGGACCAGACTGTCAAAGTATGTTCCATTCTCATAGGGTCCGAGCCTAGGCACCAACGGATTCTTGCTTTGGGACCGACCTGGTTTGATCGTTTGAGATGCCAGTTGTTGCACTCCGTCTCGTAGACTTATGGACTCTGGAACTACGAGACGCTGGAACATACTGGAACTGTGCAAGTTGACGCATGCATGCCCAATACATATACATCCCGGCGGGTTCGGTACCGGCCCACGTTTTGGTTGATGTCGTGCGTTTGCACACAGCGAGAAACAAACTTTAGCGGCGAAAACGGGTCGGCGAAACCAGGTCACCATTTCTGGAAAATGCAACCCTTTCAGGGTTTTTGTCCGGAAAACGGGACGTTTTTTTTTTTTTTTCGAGGGTGTTTGAGTGTTTGCTTTAGAGCGTTTAAACTGAAAATGTTATGAAACCGAACATTACATATCATGAAATCGATGAATGGAAGCATAAATAGCCCAAAACGTGGGCCGGTAACGAAGCCGACAGCATATATATAGATATATATAGATATATATCATATATGCAAACAGGCCATGAAGGCAATTGTGATCTACATTCAGCCCTTGGTCACATTTACTCACATGGAGTGCTGGGGACAATCTTGCACCCCAAGAATCAAGGACCCTCAAAGGTGAGGGTGTTGAGGGTCCAAAACTCTGCTAATGCAGAGTCAAAACCCTGTCTTCACGAAAACGACAGACAATGTGAAAGCATTTCCTGCTAGCTGTTATCCCTCAACGGATTGCGTGCTCCTGTTTCAGTTTGTTTTGACTCTGTGTGTTGGAAAGATTCAATTTCCTGGCCGAAGAAAAGCGCTTGACATTGAATCCTTTTCTTGTGGATTGTGTGTCTAGTTTCCGTTTGTTTGGGACATCTATGACCGTGACACAAAACTTGGGACGTTCGGCATTGCACAGAAAAGTTTGTCCACGTCCTTCGTGCGCAGGAAGTATGAGCGACAGATCAAAGACCTGAAGCAGGTGCGATCGTCCTGCGATGGTTTGAGATTGGACCACGATCGTGACTGCTGTGTCGTTGTGAGGCCGTATAGTGCCCTTCCAATAGAAGCTGGTTAAGGATCAAGTGCGGCAAGTGTGGCTTCCCTGGCAAATACATAAAAGCATATAAAAGCCTTCCTTTGAGGAATATCAGAGCTGGGGAATGCGGAAGATCTCAGAGCACTAATCCATCCCAAGTATCTCCAGCACCCATAGACAGGCAGTCTCTTTGACATGAACCCCTGTCTGAACCCGACCATTTCGGATTTCGACCCAGGAGCTCGCCATGCACGACACCTTAGCGGGCCGCAGCCGAGTGCAGTACGAGGAGAACGGAGATTTGGTGTGAAGAGTCCACACGGAGATTCCGCGTTGTGAACGGTCTCCCTTTTCCCCAAGGCCTCAAATCTGCCTCGAATCTATAAGTGCTTGGGCCTTATCTTGGGGGCAGGGTTTGCTAGGGTTTGCTGGCAGAGTCTCATTTGGAATGCCATCATGACATCCATCCTTTCCAACACACGTGCAACAAGAGCTAGGTGCGCCTGCGATTTAGAGGCATTTGACAAAGAGCAAAGGGATGGGGAAGGATGGTACAATATGGTACAATCAAAAAAAACAAGTGTAGGTGCGGTGATGTGCTGTGTAAAATTATGCATATAGCTTCTGGCAAACACAGCAGATCCGTCCCTAGGAAGTCCTAGTTGGTTGATGTGATCCCCATGACAATTGGCTTTATCACCCATCACCTCCCAGGAGTATGCACCCGATGAGCAGAAGGAGCTCCAAGATAAGGCGAGGTGACCGAGGGCACGAAGCATCCAAGCCCTCCGCAAGAATACCCAAGCGAACTTGTGCACGCAAACTTGGGCGGTTCTGGTTGGTGCGTCTTGAAGCAGGTTGATTGTTATGGGGTCAGAGTGAGCAAACTCAGTGAAAGTTTTGAAAGCAACGATCATTCTCAGAATGATGCGACACTCTGCTCCAAGAATGTGGCAGACTGGCAGCCAGAGCCAGACTGGCAACCTTCCCGAAACGAAAAATTGGATGGCAACTACCCAAGTCACCTGCAAAGTCACTGAATCTTTGGTGGTTATCAAAAAGCGATCAAAAGCGGGTTGCCATTCCACTGTTCAAGACTTGATCGTATATAGCCAGTCGCGTGCCAGGTGCAGATGTATTTGGAGGGCGACCTCCAAGAAATTGAAGTGACCAGCGACTTGGTGGGTGATTAAGCTGGCGGACGGAGTGGTTAGGATAGCTCCATGTTGGCCAATGTTGGCAAACTGGTTCGCTTGCCTACATAACTTACCGTCTCTGAATTACAGCCCCTAAACCTGGAATCTTGTGAATCGCCATTCTGAAGCATGCCCCATTGCGCTTGGTTTTGAGTCTGGCACGGTTTGCCCGCTCCTGCGAGACATTGCCAATTGCTTTGGGAAGGAAGCCCATTGTACATGGATGGTAAATTCAGCGTAACATCTTCAGTGGTGCAAGGCTTTCGTCCAGCAACAGTAGTCAGAGTAGTCCGATAGCAGAAGATGCAGGACAAAGACCTGTTGTTTTGCAACGGTCCTTGGCGGAAAGCAGTCTCCAGCCTCACTGGCGGTTCCCGGTCCTTGATGCACACGACGAAGAGGTTGGTCAAGCTGTCTAGAGCACTCCTCCAAAACACATGCAGAGAGACACAGACACAGACACATGGGAGGCACCATGTTCCCTGTGAAACACAACCATGTTCAATCCACCCAAACGAGAAACAACAGACGAACCAAGGAAACAACACCAGTCAATCACGTTTTTCGTTGGCGTTTTCCTGAGGCCTTCGCATGGTCTACGAGTCCTATGCGATCTTCCGGAAGCTCTACCAGAACCTCCGCCCGGCGATCCTGGTCGATCAACCGCTGAAGCCAATCATCAAGTCCCGGTCACATGTGGCTGTTCTGCTCAACTGAGCTCACCGTGGTTGTTTTCGGTAGCAGTAGCTCTAGACTGTACTGCAATGAGACCTGATTTGGGGCTACAATAGAGAAACAGACCTGCATGGAAAGGCAGCCAGTTGACACCCCAAGTTAGAGCCAATGTTGTAGTGTAGTATATTGCCGCTGTCCCATTTTTGCAGCACACCTGCAAGAGCTTGCAACTCTTAAGTTCTCGTCGTGGAAACTGGTCTTCCAGGGAGCTCATTCTATATTTGTTCCAGGAGCGCTTCAAGAAAAGACACTTGTGGCTTTCTCCAAGCATGAGAGAAGCGTTTGGTCAGGCGGAACTCGCCATGCGCACCAAACCAGGGACCCATGACCACATGGACTCATGTCTTTTGGCGATTCTCTCCGCGTGCTCAGGCACGGAGCTGGCCAATCGACCCACCATGCCCTTACCGCCACAGGGAGGTGACACGGAGGCAGGGATTAGACGACCAAATCCGGCAGAGCTGGGCAGAACACGGAGGACAAAAGCCTCAGTCTGTTGGAAAGAGCAAAATTCTCAGAACCAAATCCATAAGCGAATCCTTTGGCCACTCCTTAAGCCTTAACCCCTCCCGTCGATCCCTGTTTGGTGAGTCTTTCCTCCTCACTCCCGACTACCAGGCCGCTGAAGGTGGACCGGGTGCCACAGCGACCGAGACCCGGGAAGGTTCGGGCGGGCGGATCTGCGTTTCTTGCCGATCTAATCAGTTCCCTGGGGATCCAAGTACTTCCTCAGGTTCGGTGTTTGGGGTGGCTTTGGAGGGTCCAAGTGCCTTCTGAGAAGGTACGACTGGATCCCTAGGGGGTTTAAGGATCCTGTTAGGATCGAACACCCGACCAGCCCTACGATGATCCAAAAAGCTTTGATCCAACAAAAACATGTTGAGGTAAAGACCACCGACGGCGATGGTGGATATATATATATATGTTTTTGTTTATTGAAGCGACAGTAAGCGACGTGCCCTTGAGACGGGGTGAGTACCTTTTCTTTTTTAAAGGATTGTAGAAACAAATGCGATGAATGAGGATCGATAAAGCTGTTACGACAAGAAAGCAACCTCGTTGTAGAAGGATCTTGACTTCAGGCTAGTCAAGAAATCCAGGCATAAAGATGCATAAAGTAGTTTGATCTGATCGTCGAATGGAGTCAATGTCGGAGATTCCTGAGAACGCCAGAGCCTAGCGGCTGAGCCGGCTGTATTTCTGAGCCAAGGTTTGAGATGGTGTTATGTTTTAAGGTTTCGGTTTGAGTGTGTGTTGAAATTGGATGTCCAGGATGACTGAATCATGGTCCAAGTTCGGCTGGATTCTCGAGACAGCTCACCACTGGACCGCATCCCCATCTCTCAGAGCTTGGTGCTTTGCAGAGGTACCAGCGATGGCCTCCAACCTACTATATAGCGATGGCCTCCAACCTACTAGCGATGGTGGTGTCAGCTTCGAACATGGTGCAAGAGAGGGTATGCTTTCGTTGCAGATCTACCATCAGAAGGCGTTCCTTCAGATGCTGTGCAGGTGAGGTGGGAGAGGATGTGGAGGGCAAAGGCATCGCAGCCCGGGTGGCCCGGAGGGTGGCTTTGCAGGTCTGGCATTGAACAGCAACGGAGATAGTTGCTATAGCTGGATCCCAAAACCTGACAAAGGGACATGCGGGGACCCAATGGGACCCATTTATGTTCACCACGCAGAGCTGCTCCAAACCGGGCCCATCATGGTACAGAAAGAGCTTTCAATACTGTTGCTGTGCCTAGAACTGAAGCTCTTCGCATGGAGGTTGGGAGATTGTGACCAGAAAGTGAAGAGGCGACCTCTGGGGGTAGCACCTGCTGGCACTGTCTGGCACTCCAAAAGGTTTTCTATAGCAACACACTAAGGCCACATCGGGCGACCTCTGGGGCGACTGTCTCGGTGACGAGGTGACAGCGGATTTGTTCCGCTCCTTCCGATTTTTGGGGGAAGAAGACCGACCCCGTTCCTGAGTGGAGTTTTCCATGGCGGCTTAAGGGTCAAAAACCCGGATCATGACCTCTGGTTCACCTACCTGGGAGGTCGTTCGCTACAGGCACAGTGAGTGACACAGTCACCTCGAAACGGTGCCCACTGAGGTGGGAGTTGCACCGGCCAATTCCAGGCCTCCACAGGAGGCGGGGCTTCACAAGGTGGATCCGCCGCAAATAGCGGCACAGCGGTACGCCCGGAGACGACCTGGAAAGCTAAGCGGCACAGTGGTTCAGGAAGCAAGGAAGGAAGGAAGGAAGGAAGGAAGGAAGAACGGAAAGAGAAGGAAACAAATTGATGACAAAATCATACCAAATCATACGTACCAAATCGCTGTCCTTTCTTCCTGCAGTGGGTCAGAAACCTTATTCTCTTTGGCTTTTGTAAGAGGAGCCGCTCAGCGATGTTTGCGCAATCTCTTGCATAGATTGGCCAATGAACTGCAAGTTGAGTCCAAAACCAGTGCCACGAGATGTTCCTGTGATTGGGCCACATGGCTCTGCTTAACGCAGAGACGTCCTCTCTTGCAGGTCCTCCAAGTTGCACCAAACCCACCTTCGACTCTCCGGTCATCGATAGTCGACACTCCCTGTCACCTCCAATCACCAACCACCACGGTGTTCGGATGTCGGATGACCTGAAGCCAGGTGGTGGGCCCAGGGTATCGCCATGAGGGAGGGTACGCCATGTGTTGATTCCATTGGACACGGTCTGTCTGGCCGCTGCCGGATCGCTCGCACGCTCGGAGGCGATGGCGCCCGACGCAGGCGCCGGTCTGACGGTTGGAAGTGGAGGATGCCGACAAACTGCACCAACTTGGGAGGTGTTTTTCCTTCTTAACATTTGTTAAACAAATGTTGTTGGGTGAATTTTTTTCCTCCAGTTGAGTGTGTCAGGGAACAAGATAGTTCAGCTTTGAGAACAGATTCGGAGACAGCCCTCAGTTTTTGACGGAGTTTCTTCTGCATCGAGCAGACTTGCTCCAGCTAGCTTTGACTATCTTTGACTTAACATGCACAAACAGGGCCCATAAAGACCTACTTGGGACAAGAAGCACCGCTGTGGCGGTGGTTGTATTCAAGAGTTTTCATGATGGTTCAAGGGTTCTCGTGTGGCCTAATTTAATGTGTATATAGTAGATATTGTGTCCATGGGCATGGCCAAGGTCAGGCCCATTTGCTGCAACCACAGAGTTTTCAGCTGCAGGTAACGTATTTGAATGTTTGTGTGTGCCGGTCAACGGAGTACTAGAGTAAGCCAGTGCCGCTTTTGGATGCAAAAGAGGGTGCCCTTCACGGGCCACTAGTCAAGTTATGCAAATCCTTGGTTCTGGGCCGCTCCGTTGGCCATTTGCTCGGTCGTGGCCATATCTCTTTTGCTTTCGTGCAGGTGAGGACCTGGAAGACACCCCAGGGGTGGAGTGGGGAGCCTAAGCCGGTGTAGGAAGTCAGGTGAACCCCCCAGGCTCAGACGAATGCAATAACCCAATAGCACCCATCTATTGTTACCTAGAACCTGATTGACCGCTGTTTTGGAGCCAAAACATGGGTCAAGCGGGTTCTAGGTATTTATATTGTATATACAATGGTATTCCGTTTGGGTGCAAGCGTGTGCAAATTGGGCGAAGGGATAGAGTCCCGGGAAGTCGTATGTAATATTATGACATTTTGCAAGAATTGGTTTGCAGACTCTGTAACAGAAATGCCTGCCAATAAACATGTTGCCCTGGGAGGTGATTGGGGTGTCTTGGAATCCCTGGAATATTTGAGCAGCGAAGACAGCGATTGAAGATTTGTTGATATATTCATTTCATTCATGAGACACTTTATATATTAATGCCATTCGTTTATATTTAGTTTCTCATTCGTTTTGGGCAAGTGAGACTGATCTTGAGATCTCTTGAGCTGGCTCTCCTTGTGCCAGCGGCTTCAAACCGCAGAGGTCATGATTCAAGTGATTTTTCACAAAGAATTGTATCATTGTATCATATAACATATTATATATCCCACTAAAAACTGATCAATCATGTACCTTAATCACGGAAGTTGTATACTGTATGCATTCCAACGAACTCCTGGCCACGGCTTCGATCTGCGCCGGCCCCGGTGGCTTTCCACTGGCTCGATGAGGCCCAAGTCGGCCCGCGATGAGCTCCAAAAGCCTCCAGACAAGCAGGCGAGCAACTGATTCCATGGATGTTGGTTCCGAACAAACAGTTGCGGAGCTTAGGGTTCTATGATGTTCTGTGTTCATCCACAAAGTGTTCAATTTGTGCACAGTGTGCAGTCATCAGTGTTAAAGTGGATTAGTAGGAGCAACATCCACCATTGGAACCACCATGTTTCCTCGCTGAAAGGGTTTTTTGCAACAAATCGTTGGGCGTCGCAGGCTTTGTGTTTCTCATTTCTCCTGACTGAACCCCTCAACTAAGACCAACTGGATTCTGACTGGAGAAGGTTGTGCGGAGGTTGTCCATTTGGAGAAGGAGCTCCACCAGGGTGGAAGTAGATGGTGTGCTGTCACGGTGTAACTTGACCTGCCCTTGATCTACCGGAGAAGGAGCCTTACGCTCCTCACAGTTCACCTCTTCCGATGTGTTTGGGCACTTTGGGATCCCGGTTCAACGCGTTGCCGGTCCGGGGCTTTCCCCGGACGCACACAGGTCCCAGCTGAAGAAACCGCTGTTGAACAGAGTCATGAGAGGAAGGGATACCTTTCCAAGCAGTATTCAATCGGTGAAGAACCCCTTTGCCAGGCCGTCTTCGCTGAATGGAAGGCGAAGGATGGCCAGGCCGTTGCCAGAGCTACGCAGATCTGCGGAGCCGTTCGCAAGCTACAGTGTATACATACAGTCATTTGAGAGATGTGTGTGTGTGTGTGGTTGTTTGAAACCATATCCCTAACCGCGTTCAATTTTATAACAAGGCCTGGATGTTTCAAGCACATGGACACATTGAGAGAACACTGAACAATAGCTCTTGGATGCGTTTGGACATGTGTTTGAGAAGCATCCTTCCGACTCAATCCTGGGTCTCATGACGAGTGACTCAGCGTCTGGGAACGAAACAAGACATGGATGTCCAAGAATGGCCTTGCCATGAAGAGGCATTCGAGTCGGTTGAGCCGGCTGCCAGACATTTGGAAGCGACGTCTGACCGCAGAGCGGCCGCAGAGCGGCCGCAGAACACATGGGGTATCATGGGGTCCTGAGTCCTGACTTTGCACGACAGGGGGAAGTTTGGATCTCAAGAACTCGGAACATCTCAGAACCTTCGACATGTGGGACGTCCGTCTCAGCACCTTCGGCTCTTTGGAGCTTATACTCGGAATCTCTTCAGAGATGTTAGAACAATTCCTGTTCAAGAGAACCTGCGTAGTAGTACTCTTTGTTCGGTTCATGGCAATATCAAGTTGGCTAATTTTTGAAGCTGGCCCTGCTATGATGCCGTTTGAGCAGCACTTGAATCACCCCAACATGTCTCCCGCATACTGCGGAGCCCGAACCCCAAGCAGACAGGCAGTAATTAGGTGGGTCCTTTCATTGTACCTTGCACAGCTACAGATAAAGACATGGTCAACGGTGAAAACCCTCAAGTTGACTCTCCAAAATGAACAACATACCCAACGCTTCAACTAACGACGTCCACCTACCCATGTTGGTTGTGACCCCCAAAAAGGATCGGAGACCGACGGTGTCTCCCCCACCGCACCCGTGCGGCCTGCGCAGTCCTTCGAAGATGCTTTTGAAAAGTATCGGCAGGAGAAAGTGCCACGATGTCCCCGCCAGACATTGCCCATGGTATGTTGTTTCCCCAACGTGGACGGAAGGGAAATAAAAGGGAGCCCTGAAGTACCAAGTTTCCAACCGGTCTTGGGTATTTTTTTTGATGTATGGGGTGGCGGGCTAGTGAAGTCGAGGTTGCGCTAGTGGTTGCGCTTTAGAATGCAAAAGAGCAGACCAGGTCAAAAAAGAGCCAAGGCAATAGTTTTGATTATACATTGATCATCGAGCACTGAATTCAGCCCTTGTTTTGGGAGGAAGCTGCAGAAGGCCATTGAAGCTGTTGGTCCTTTGTGCATGACAGGTCAAAACGGGTTATACAACAGTTTGGAATCATGTCTGGACCATCACGGCAGTCCATTGGTCAACCCTTAGTCCTGGTCCTGGTGTGTGTGTGTGTAGATATGCATAGAACATGTTCTGATCACGAACAGGTCATTCGTTTGAGTCATCACTTGATCATCATTGTGCAGCTCGTACTTGGTTGAGGCTCCTTTCTTTGAACTAGTGCTGTTTGTAGATGTGTGAGATTTGAAGGTTTGTCTCTTGTTGGGTGCAGAGCTGACTTTGAACACTGATTTCTTTGTGATTGTTCATTTTGACATGTCCGTATTGCGTGATGGAAGCTGTTCTCCATGTTTGGCGCATTTGGGGGACTATCCCCAGGTAGCACGGGTTCTTGTCGAACCAAGTTTTTGCCCACCAACGCAACTGGAGAGGCAGGATCTATGGGTTTGATCCACTTTTGTCCTGCTTGCACCAAGAACCCTCGGGAGAACCTGTGTGGACCCCAAGTCTATGCACGAGACACGCTCGCTTGATCCAGGAGCTGAAAGAAAAGCGCGCCGAAATGAAGGATGCGCTGGCTTGGAGCTCAGAGTGCATCATTGTCTACAGAGATTCTTGTGGGAGGAAGATAGGTATGAGTTGGTCTGTCCTACTACCTGTAACAGTCGGTAAACAATTATCACTATTGTATAGAGGCCCTTACTATCCTTTACGAACCATCATCATCCACGCTTACTGGTAATATGATATACCCAAGGTATGAGTTTGTCAATTCTCCGTGGAGTGCGTGAACCTCAATCCAAACGAATTGGGCGAGTTTCTTTGGAGCCCAAGTTCCAAGGTGAATCAGTGGTCCTTCATACCCCAGGAACTAAAGTTTAGTTCTATAAAGGGTTCACAACCAGAACCAGTGATGAGAACGTCAATCAGCTCTTTGGATGTGGCTGTCGTAGTGAGTTGATGTGAGTTGCTTGGCAACAAGACACGTAGTGAGTTGCTCCCATCAAACCCGCGTTCTATCAGGACTCTTCAGGGACGTGGCCAATGAATCCACCTACTGTCCAATGCACAGCAGCCTAGATCAACAGTGCTTTCAGATTTGATTCACAATCCCCAAGTTGGGCGGTTGATATTGAACCGCATTTAAAGGACATCTTGGCGTTTGTGCCATCTACTCTGAAACACTACACACCGACCCAAACTTCCAGAAGTGAGGTCAACATTGAAGTGGAAGGTGCAAGTCAGGCAGTTATGATAGGTAAATATGGTAGTCTAACTTCAGAGGGTTTTAAGGCCACGAATGACGGGACCCGGCGCCCACCGTGTAGCCCGTCGTGCCGTGCCGTCGTAGCGCGCAGAAAGCAGCGAATGCCAAGAAGAAAGAGATCGACGAAGCCCAGGAGACGTGAACAAGTGGAGTGTGGCAACAGGAAGAAGCTATTATACACATCTTGCATAGCAGATCCTCCTAGATGTCCGGCCAACATCCAATCACTGAATAGCAAGTCACTGATGGAGTGCCAAGTAATCAATAGATGTCAACAGTAATTATATTAGATTATCATGAAGCAATTGGGCGAGACCAGCCAGATGGGGCCATGTTGTCCTGTTCACCCACAGCATATTCAGATATATAGTTTGTTTCTTCCCCGTTCGCCAGGCATTTGGCATCATTTTTCAGTTGTGGAAGAAGGGAACCATCCAGCCGCACCTATACTTTTAACAAATACTAATGCACATTGATCCACCCTAAAATCCACAGATAGAAAACACATAAACCGTAGAAATGGCGCTTAAATCTGCTTCGCTCGGCGACCGTTTAGGGCCACAGGCGGGCCGCTGCGGCCGCTCTTCTGCCGTAGAGCCACCAGGAGCTCTTGGCAAGAAAGCCGGGAGATCGTTACGAAGCGGCTGAGAAGGAGGACCAAACCGGGATCCGGGAGCATCAACCGAAGCCTTCGTGGTACTGGTTACGGTACAGGAGAGTGTCCAAGCTGATGAATATCTACAGTGTACAGTAACCAAAAGCAAATTGTACAGGAGAGTGTACCTTCAGTTGGTACTTCCAGAGTGAAGGCATACTGATTGTTTGTGTAGTCTCATTGGATCCAGACCGATCTGGAGCCGTTTCAAGTACATGAGATGCCCGCAAGATCCAACCATTTGACCTCTCAGCTTTGCCCTGAACTTGCTTTGCTCCAAAACCACGATCGACTCCGAAAACTACTTGGCAGACAATATGGTCCGTGCATGTGACCGAATTCAAGAGAGGTTATAAGCGGTACAAATCATGTGAAATCTCCGTTTTTCCGCTGTGGGACTTCTGCTTTGCCTCTTTGGCTTCGGCCTATGGGCGAACTGCCGATGGAGCTGCCGGAAGTGCGAGAGGCTGCGTGGAGCTTGATCTGCCGCTGGACGTCAGACATGCTAGGGCATCAAATCTTATTCCCATTGGATCCCTTCAAAAGACTGAACGGTATCCCCAAACAGATGTCATTTGAATATTTGATACATGTACATACAGTGACAACATGTACAGTAATGAATTTGGACGCTTTATAAGGCCGTATGGATTCGGTTCATGCATGAACCTGACCAGTCTTCAGCACGAGCCATGGATGCTCATGATGATCACCTGAGATATGTAGCTCAACATTATGATCCCACCATTTACAGGGTCTTCTACAGTTCAAGTGGTGCAGGATCTCCTCCATGAACACTGCCTTTTTCCCTCTTTCCTCAGGTCGTTCTCCACAGATCTACCAGTGTGACGATTTCCTGAGCTCCGAAGAATGTGAAGCCATCCGCAGCTTCGCAGAGGCCTGGAGAAATGAAGATGTGGCGACGGAATGCTTGGAATAGATCCACATGAAACATCATGAAACATTTTGAGACACGGATTATTACCACCTGGAAACCCAGTCCCAACCAGAATGTGAGTTCTGCAGTGTTCTGTATGATTTCCCAGTCCCAGCCTTCCCCAGCCCCCGCCACTTCCTATGTAAAAGGATTTCAAGCTGGCTCCATATTGGAACAACCATTTGTTGGTTAAGGCAAGAGTTTGATTGCTCACAGGATTGGACAGCAAACTTGCAGCCTGCGGTCGCCGCGTTTGTTTGTTGTCCAAGAAGTGTGGAAACCCTCCGGGAGAGGCATGATAAGTTTGACATTCTTAGACCAAAACCATCCAACACCTGTCTTTCAATGCAATTGTTGCACACGGTGGATACGCGAATGCTGTTGCCTATGCATTTCAGGGTGTGACAAGTGCACTTTCCTTCGTGACGAGCTGCGGCGTTGGCTACTTTTCTTTCATCCAGTTCAATGATTCTTTTCGGCGACTTTGTACCATCCACTACGGAGCAAACATTACGTATTCTCCATCATTACACTACATAACACTGGTTCCATTACGCGGTACTGGAGGTTGATGTTTGCCATACAGCTAGCTTTGGACAACACGTATACCATACCGGCAAGCGATGACGATGGCCCCGAAGACTCGGGTGGACCCTTTGGATTACCAAAGAGGTGGTGAAATCCACGCATATAACCCATGTTTCCAGGGAGTGTATCCAGCTGGTTTTCTTTCCTCCTCGGCAGTCGGCTGGCAGCGAGTCCTGGAATTTAAGCTTCAAGACTCGAGTCGATTTGCATCCCGAAGGCGGGGATAGACAGCAGGTCGAGCGCCGCTGAGGTAGATCCTGCACCGTCACTGACACTGTAGAGATACCTTGAGATACCTCCTTTTAAAAGAGGCCCGGGGTAGACTGTTCATCAAGAGTCATTGCATCAGAACCTGCATGAACTTTTAAATTCTACGCTGTAATGACCCACCGAAAGTGATGGAGAGGGTCGCACTTAGTGGTGCAGAATGGGTCCATGTCATCGCCCTGAGGGGGTTGGCTTGGTGGCCCTGAGGCAGTAGCCCTGGCGCCGCTGTGCTGCGCGCTTTGGACCGGAGGATTTGGGCTTTGTCTGGGCAGCGGCCGCATGAGGGTGCCTCGGCTTTGCGAGTGGGAACAAGGAGCAAAGACGTGAGGTAATGCTATGTACTGAAAGGTTTTTACAATTAGATACTGTTTATGTACTGTACTGTCATGTACAATTGAATTGTGTTTTACTTGTTCTACACGATTGACTTGGACCTTGCAGGTGAACGTGTGCTTTAATTAATATGATGGGTTCAGCGGAAGGTGGTGAGGCTCCTTCTGGCTTGAGCGCGTGAAGACACTTCTGTCCTGTGTGGTCGCCCTTGATAGGCAGAGTCTGATTGAAATGGTTGGTTTCTAGTTACACCCCAGCTTACAACCAATGCACCTCAGGTGACTAACCATTTGGGTTAGTCTCTGATCTTGAACCGGGGCTCACTCCAGACCAGTCGATGTGAGTTCTTCACCCGGCGCTAGGCACGTCTTCAGGTGGTTTCTGGGGAGGGGCAGGAGCAAGGATGCTACTAGGGGCTCCTGGCATCGCTACTAGGAGCAAGGACGCTACTAGGGGCTCCTGGCCTTACTACTAGGAGCAATGTTTGCTATTAGAAACAAGACGAATAATGATTAGTATTCGATTAGCTGAAACGAGGGAGACCGACAACCTCGAGTAAATCCTCGCACCTTGAGTGAATCCCAAGGAGAGATGCCCTGGGCAGTGCATGTCACTCCAGGAGCGGCGTTCGTCTACATATAGACGCTGGATGAGGCGTATCAGGCGTCTTTGTGCCCCCAAATCAGAGGCATGCCCGGAAGGGAAAGAGCTTTGTGCACAGAAAGAGCTTTGCAAAAGCCTATTCTACCTTTTCCATCGTGGAAGGTCCAGGGTGGACGTTTCGGGGAGTGCAACGGCGCGGACGGGTGTTTTCCCTCGAAGCAGCAGACAAAGGTTGCTCCTAGTAGCACTCTTGCTCCTAGAAGTAAGGCCAAGAGCCCCTAGTAGCGTTCTTGTTCCTACCCATGAGTGACATGATCTTTTGCCATGTGTGTTGAAGCTTGTCGGGCAAAGTATATAGTCCTGAGACCTAGGTTGCATGTGTGGGTGCCGGATCAAATCCTAGAATCGCGGGGTTTTGTTGTAGGACACCATTGACACGATCCATTCATGAAAGGTCCCCATAGGTCCTAGGGTGGCTGTTTTGAGGTCCCTGGCTGGCGGCCCAGATGGGCGTTTGAGATTTCCATGGGTGGTGCTCCGTCGCGTCAGAAGCTACGCACGCTGGAGGCCATCGCTACTAGGGTGGAGGCCATCGCTATTGGGAGCAAGAAGCTACAAGTAACTCCTACAATTCCGGCCGTTTGGGTGACGCCCCGTTTGACTACTGTCCCGCTTGGCTTCCGAACTGGGTCGACCGAGGAGACGGAGGAGACGTCCGGACACCGTTGGGACTTCATGTGGACACCAACAATGGCCGATGCTGGGCTGTTGGAAGGGTCGGATCTTGATTTTAGGGTGGAGTTTAGTCACTTGAAACACGTCGAGACCACTGAAATTCAGTGGTTTCAAGATGTTTCAATATGTGTCAATAGATGGTTTGAGCAGGATGTGGTGAGCTTATGTGAGGTTGGTTTTTTGGAGTGGGTTTGGGGGGCCGAGGTTTGCTGAAGCCAGGTTTGATTTGATGAGGTTTCCTTTTTTACATTTGTGGGCATGTTCGCATTTTTGTTCCTCCTAGTGTTGGAATCATCCATAGTGTTCAGACAATTCCTTTGTGGATCGAGGACGAACTCCTAAGAACATGTTTTTGATGAGCAGGAAGCCTTTGTTTGCAAAATGTTTGAAGAACACACACCGTAAACAATGTCTCAGAGGAGAATGTTGAAGCATCCTAGTTGTTTGAGTTCTGTTTTTTTTCCGCAGCTTTCTTTAAGTCCAACCATTTTTTTCGTTTTTTCTCCATGTCTCAGGAGAGAGACGCTGGCTGACCTTCCTCATTTATTTGAAGACCTTGGAGCCTTCTGAGGTCAGGTGTCACGTCCAACCGGGGCGCTTGGGGGTGGTCTGGTGTGGCGAACAGTTGGGAGATCGCCCAAAAGTGTGAGGTCAAAAGAACTGTGTGGAGGTGAGGGAACTCAAGAGAATATAATTCTCTGTGAGTTCTTGGAGGTTTGAGGGATTTTGCACACTTGCAGGGTGAAGGAATTACTTTGGCCTGAGCTATCCTCACCCTCACCTGAGCAAGGATGATTCCAGAGCGCACGGGACCAAGTGTGATGGGTATTGTGCTGCATTTGTATCGTGCCATGTCAGTGTTTGCGTTATTGCTTTCGTTGACTTGGCATTGCTATAGGCACTACATGGCGGCGTGTCGTTGCTGTTGTCCTTCTGTTTTGTCATTCCTGTTGCCATTAGTGCTGTGCCATTCAACAACATTCAGTTTGTCACTGCAAGTCTTGTATTGTCTTGTTGTTGTTGCCGATTATGATCGATTATGACTTCGTGGTCATTGAAATTGTACGTTGCCTATTGTGAGTGTGCAGTTGTCATTCGATAAGGCTCAGCTTGTCGCCACTGGCCACCGACGGGACCTGAAAGAATGGCCAGTGGCGACCCCCAAGGTGGATAAAGGTGGTTGCCAGAGCACCCAGGGCCCCCTTCCATGTTGTTTTGATTCATTTTGATACTACAAGCTTACACCGAAGTCCAAAGACGGTTTTTTTGACCGACTGAAGTCATGGCATCTACAATGCCCGGCCATTCCTTGACATCGGGTCGTCGGAGCATGCCGAATGTGTCGACACGTTACGGGTTACCAGATTGTAGTTTAGGAGAATTCCCAACAGATTGCGTAACAAAAATGGCTGGTCTCATTTGCAAGGTGGAGGTGGTCTATTTGTTATATATATATAGATTCAAATAGATTCAAAGATTTCGCAGCACCAGCCTCCTGGATGGGTCGAGTTCTACATCGATGGGAGGGTCCCTCACGGGTTCCCAGTATATTGCCGCCTCAGACCTTCCAATCTATCACAAAACTACCCCTCAACTGATTGGCAAATATGGCAGTCTCATGTCAGGGTGAAAGAGGTAAAGCACTTTGAAACATATGAATGGACAAGCAGAATCTGCTCTTTGCAGGTCTCCTTTTGCGGGTCGAACATGGTCGAACCAGTCAAACCTGCCATATCGCCTTTTGCCGCTCGAAGTTTGCCGGTCGTCCTTTGGTTGGGACAAATACACCGTGATCGACCCGGACCCGGGGGAGCGTTCGACCTCATTCGAGGCAGGCGGTTCCAGGTTCCTGAGCGAGTTGGGTGTGGAGGGTTGAAATGGCATAGCTAATGGGTGTGTGTTTGAAGAGGAAGATAACCCCCGAAGACAGAAGAGACAGACAAAGAGACCAGTCTACTCTAAGTGGTGAAAGGTCTTCCTATTCAAGTACACGTCCAGAATTACTATATGAATTGCTAAATTACTATAAATAATAGATGGTACAACAAACAACTTGGTTCGAGCAACTTTATCCTTTTCTCACCAACTCATAGAGCGAAACCTTGCAGGGCGGCCACACGCTCTTTCCCTTGGCACATAGTCTCGAGGAGGGTGTGGAGGCCTCTTGGTTGCTGGAAGTGACAAATGACCGCGGGGGCGTCAAAAATGTCACATGTCACTTGTTTACGCTTGTTTGATCGTGTGCATGTGTTGGTTTGATTCGGAGTCGAAGGACTGCCTCAAGTTGACAATGCTCAAATGTCCAATTTTTCAGCATGTGTGTATCTCAACAAAAATCTCAACAACCCTCAGTTGACAATGGAATCATGACCAGTGCCCCCATGGCGCAGCCATGTGAAATATGGAACAGTATGGCACATTTGACTGGCGTAGCTTGCAATGTCTAGAGTCTGCCTGTGACTAGAACATTCACCGTGTTTTGCTGTCCCACATTCTTTCGTACCTCTCACCGAATTGCCGTGTTGCCTGTTTGCTGCTTGGCCGATCTGCGATTTTCGACCAAGGAACCTCCGGTGGCCGGGGAGGTTTTGCTCCAAGCTGACCTACATCACACTGGCCCTGCAAGCGAAGCATCTCAAGCTACTCATGTACAGGACTCTGGTCAATCACATACTGTAGTTGTGAAGTGTTGTGGTACATTGTAGTTTACCAGGTTCAACAGCTGGCAAGTTCCCGGTGCCACGGTGCCACTAATTCTTGACACCTGCAACGTTGCCATGGTGGCAACGTGACTCTGCCAAGTTCGCCAACGAAGTAACCGCCTGCAGTTGGCCCAATCAACTTGGACGACCCAGTAAATTTTGGCTGGTGCTGTGCAACTTGTTATTAGTAGTGGTCCCACGGAAGATCGTATGAAGATTGTAGAGTTTCAAGTTTGGCTTGGAGACCCCTTCAATCGTTTTTGGCCGATATACCATCCAACAAAAAAAACACTCACATAGAAAACTGGTAGACCGCCCAGTTAAACGGAATGATGAATTGTCACACGCCAAAACTGGCACGTTCCATCCGTGAAGAAGAGGGAACCATTTTGTAACCGCGATTAGCCCTTTCTGTGTGGTGACAAGTGACTCCAAAATAGAAGTTACTTCTTTAACCATGGACATCCTCTCTCCTTGGACCCACAAGGGTGCTTTATGGATAATCCTGTCCACCTATTTAAAAAACACACCGGCCCCCCCTAATAAGGAAACATCGGTCGCCTGAGGATTTTTTTTAATGTAAAATTCTGTAAAATCCTTTAAAGAACTCGTATCAAAAGTTCAAAAACCTCCAGATCGAAGGGTCTTCCTTTTCCCCCTACAGAAATACATTTATTAGAATATAGTGATTCTTCATTAGACTAACAACTAAAGCTTTCGAAAGGTGATGTGATGTCGCTGTGCCATGCGGTTTTGCGCAACCTCGGTGGAAAGTGCGTTTGCGTGAGTCCGTGCTTTGGGGGGAAGGAAAGCCTGCTGGTGTAAACACGGCGTGTCATGGTGGATAGACAGGGTGGACAGAGGTGGGCAGTTTACGTGTTTTTTTTTACTTTTTTAAAACAAAAAAACTCCTCCAAAGTCGGCCATGTTGATAGTTTAGTAGCGGCTTGAAAGGGCGGTAATATAAAAACGAGTATAAGCTGTATTTAGGATGCTGTGTTTTTGAATAGGGAGTCCTTTTTTTAGACTCTCAGGATTAATTACCGCTCAATGGCTGCTATAAGCCAAAAAGATGCTATTCATAGACGCCCCCCCTAGGAGAGACCCTGGTGAGACAGTTCTTCGGTCCTATCACCCTTCCCCCAAAAAAGGCACAACCTCCCCCAGCCCCCAACCGGAGGACGCTGCTCGCACCTTGCTCGCCCGCGCTGAGCGCCTGGCCAGCCTCGCCTCTTCGGGCCACTCGAGGGCGGCTTGCGGCGTGGCGGTGGCGCCAAAGGAGGTGCCGTGGATCGGTCCGTGGTCCGCGGAATCGCCTCCGTGGGGACCGACCTCTACCCGCGGAATCGGTCCGAAGAGTCCGTGTGATTCAGACCTCTGATGAGCGATCTCTATAGGTGAAACTCAATCAGAGAAATTTCGGATGAACATGGATGAACTCACACCTCAGCATTCCATGGCCTTCCATGGCGTTGAGAACCCTCCGCCCATGGCGTTCCAGGGCCGTTGCGTGGCCTTTTGGAGTCGCAGTCGCACTGGACACCTGGACCCTGCATCCTGGCACGGCGGCGCTGCCGTGGGCCTTGGGAGTGCGAAATGGACGCTGCAGCGACCCGGACCGGATTCTGATGGAAGAGCTTCGCTGGAAAGGAAAGAACTTCAGATTCTGCTTCAATCTTCCACACGTTCTGGCAGAATTGAAGTGTTGGCAAATGGTCTTGATAGTTGACTTGCACATATTATTTGTACAAGTTTCCAGGGCCTATTGGTAGACGTAGTCAAATTTGACATGCTCGAGGGTCATCTACTGTACCTTGAGTTCATATTTTTCGAGTCGCTGAGATGGCGTGGTAGACGGAAGGAAAAAGAGACAGTCTGAACATTGCGGTGGAGTCGTTGTTTCGTGTGATGGAAGCTGCACTGAGGAAGTTCAAAGAAGCTCCTGCTGAGGTGTTGAAAGCCTGTTGCATCGAGGCGGCTCCGGCCCAGGTTGTTCATGAAAGGGCAGGATGACCCTGGAATTCGCGGAAACTGAGGGGTGAATGTCCCATTGCGTGAGGCTAAGAATGTTGTTTTTCCCCAGAGAGCGAGAGCTATTGGGGCTCTTACTTCGAGTCTAGGGCCTGTGTGCTTTGGAGCCTGGTGCTGGTGCCGCTGCATAGTACTGCTGCCAGATGTTTGGCCGTGTGCGCTTTGGAGCTTGGGTGCTGTGGCTGGTGCCACTGCAGGGCGCGGCTGCCAGATGTGTGGCCGTGTGCAGTTCGGAGATTGGGTGCTGGTGCTGCTGCAAGGTGCTGGTCATGCCCGTGTTCACTTTGAAGAGGTGTCTATGGCCGTGTGCGATTTGGAGCCTGTGTGCTGGTGCCGCTGCGGGTGTCGCTGCTTTGGTGCTGCCCACACACATATGTATATATATATATATATGCTATATATATATATGTGTGTGTGTGGCGAAGCTTCAGATTTGAGCCGCTGAGATCATTGTCTTTTGAACTCAGCGGCTGACGTTAGCCTCTTGCAAGAAAAGTTTGCTGACTGGTGGAAATCGAAGTGGATCATATATATATATATACGTATACATATATATATATATACATACATATACATATATATATATATGCATATATCTATAGGGTTATTCCCCAAACAGTTTGCTGTTGGGGTTCTATCTTAGAAAAAAGAGCTGGCCACACTCAGTGGCCGCGCCCCTGAAATCTGTGGCTGGGCTCTGTGTCCAGGCCTTGTCCTCCTCTTGTCCTCTGTGGCTGGGCTCTGTTCTGTGTCCAGGCCTTGTCCTCGTCTTGTCCTCTGTGGCTGGGCTCTGTGTCCAGGCGTTGTCCTCCTCTTGTCCTCTGTGGCTGGGGTGTGTGTCCAGGCCTTGTCCTCCTTTTGTTTTTGTGTGGCTGGGCTCTGTGTCCAGGCCTTCTGTGTCCAGGCCTTGTCCTCCTCTTGTCCTCCTCTTGGCAGCGCCCCTGAACTCTGTGGCTGGGCTCTGTGTCCAGGCCTTGTCCTCCTCTTGTCCTCTGTGGCTGGGCTCTGTGGCTGGGCCTGCCCGGTTTACTGGAGAGGCGTGTGGCCGAACTAATAGCGATGTCAATGCGGACAAAAATTCATTGATGAAGCCGTTTGCTCTTGGGGTGAAGGTAGGGCGTACCAAGAAATCGACTCTTGACAAATATTGGTCTAAACGAATCGTTTTGAAGCTGTTTGGGGATGCTGGTATAATATTATATTACATGTTTATATATTGTATTATACCTTTTGATATCTGTGGTCTGTGCTGGCGCAATTCATTTATAGGGCATTTTTTGTCACAAAGTGTCACAAACGCCAAGGCCCAAAGCACCGACAGGGTGAACATGGAACATGTGTCAAGCAGGCAGTTCTTGACTTTACCAGGACCTCGTTTTGCCCGGTGTTGACCCAGTCTATGTTGATTCAAAGGTTTTTGCTGATTCCTTGTATGTATTCGGATGTGGGTACGGGATGGTACGGGTATTGGTGTGTAATTGTCATCTACCGTTTGTCCTTGCTCCTTGATTGGTTCCGTCACTTCAAAAGACTTTTAAATTCCCTTCATAGATCGTCAAGGCAATCGGTGGTATTGCTCCTCAATCGGAATGAGGTGCCAGTTCTGCTAAGCCGCTAAGCTGTGTTCCTGGCTTAGGGTTCTTGGGCACTAACGATTAGAGGAACCACAAGATCCTTAGAAAGGTGTGACGTAAAAAAAATTAGGAGTGATTCGTGCCTGAGTTGGTTTAAAGAAGGGATGCTGGACTGTCTAAAGGTTTCGAGATGGTTTCGAGAAGTGTGTGGAGTGACAAGAGGTGATTTGAAAGTGTTGGAATGACTAGAGGTGGTGCTCGGCGTGACTGTGGTTTTAGAGTGTTTTAGCAATGACTAGAGGTGGTTTCAACAATATGGGGTGGCTGGAGGTGGTTGGAACGGATTGTTGTCAGCTTTCATTTGACGCAGACCATCCAACAGAGGCCTGGGGTTATGGACTCACGTGCTGTTTGGAGCGGTGTGGGTGGATGATTCGATGTTGTCCATCGTGCGAGACCTTTGCCATGCAGCACGCGTCCTTGCAGCTGCCCTGTGGCGCCGGTGCCGTGCGCTTCGTGGAGGTGGAGGAGTTGGGGGAGAAGCCAGTTGAAACAAGAGATGGACAGCGGATATCCCACCATGTCCTTTGTTTCTTAAACATGCATACATAGTTCAGTCTCTCACCCCGTGGAGGAAACTGAATTTATGCAGAGGAGTCAATACTGCAGGGGGCAGGCTATGTTAGGCTCATTAGTTTCTCTCTTGTTGGTGAGCTGTTTGGGGCACGTGAAGTGACATTGGTTTGTATGAAACATGATATACAGCGCTCAAATATGCTCAAATGTTTCATATCAAACATCCGCAAATCATATTATGCTAGCGTTGGTTCTGTGAGTGAGTGTTGAATCGGTGTTGAACACAGATTCAATAATGATTCAGCGCATGTCCATGTCCACATCACACACTTAGGAAGGGCTCAGAAAAAATACGTACCAAAACCCGCCAACACTCTGTGAGTTTTGATGTTTGAAGTTGGTTGTGATGTCAAACATGTCCCCACTCAAACTCTGCTAGGCACTGGATCAAATACGAACTTTCAGCCTTGGTCCGAGCTTAATCACCGAAACGCACGACACCATGCTTTGGTGGCATGTGTCGTTCCGGCTCATGCAAGGCGCACAGGCACAGTGCATGGTTTCAAGTGGACTCTTGAAACAGCGCAGGTCACCTTCTCAGAAGAGGTGTTTCTTTCGTCCTGCTGCCTGCGTGCAGGAAGATGCACCTGGAGTTGGCGAAAAAGCACGATGCGTGGGCAGCATCGCAGTGGGAGTTGGGGGTTGCCAGGAGTGAGGCAAAGGATGGAACTGACAGTTTCCATAGTAATCATTGGTTGTACAAGATGTTGTCCTTTCTGTTTTCAATTTTTTTTAGTTGTTCGCTGCCAACTGGGAGCTGTGAATGTGCGATGGTGCTTAGTTTGCTTGGGAACTGTCCCTTCATGATGGATTTCACCTCTAAGGCACTGTTAGTCCACCAGTTGTTTCTCGCATGTTTTCGTCTTTTTCCACAAACCATCAGGAACCCCACAACGCAGAAAGGGTTCGGCCAGTGGTTCCAAATGGACCCCCCGACGAGAAACAAGGAACTGGACCCTATCCCGTCCAGGACCTGATTGATGAAGAAGAATGGGCCTTGATCAAGAACATCAAGGACCGGGCCAGTTATTCGGAGTTTGAGAGATTTGCCGATAGCCCCCACCACCGTTTTCGGGTCCAGAAACATTCCGAGATGGACCAAAAGACGGAGGCTTTTCGAAAAGGGGCGACAAAGTGCCTTGCTCAATTCATTGCTAGGGCCTAGCGCTGATCTCGATTTCCTTGGACTTTCGACATGTTCTGTCTCCAAAGTACGCTGTTTTGTAGTTTGGGGTCATGGATGGTCATGGTATTTACGTGTGTCTTCCATGTGTCGTGATGTTCAGGAGACGAAGCTTCAGTACCGAGACGCCTTTGAGCAACACAGCCGGGTGAAGATGGATGCTTGGGGAACTCAGATCCGTTTCACGCCTGGTTCGCGGAGAAACGCCTCCGGAAGTCTCGGATCATCCACGTCATTCCAGTCGGGAATGAGGGAAATGAGGTCTTTTCACCTCCCCAACCATCCGGACCTGGACGAGGAACGACCTGGACCTGAAGCTATCACATCGAAGCTATCAACCTCGACCCGATCAACTCGACCCGATCAACTGATCGGCAACTAATTTCCACCCAGTCGCATGAGTCTCGTTTTTGAGCAGACGGTGCCCACTTGGGTCTTCCGGTGCCCACTCACAAAATTCCACCCAGTCACATAAGTCCCAGTCACAAGGGTCTTCCGGTGCCCTTCTATGCCCTTCTTAAAAAAAGAAAAAACACACTCAATGGACAGGTGGGAGCGTGGGAGTCCGTGGAACACACCCAATGGGCAGGTCCCGGTTAATTGATGAGCGACCATTGACATAAAAACGGCCGACCATTGACATAGACGACATGGGTGCTGTCATGCTCCTATTGTTTTTTCCTGTTGTTTACTTGTCATTGCTCCTGAGAATGACTACCCCAAGTTGACAAGTGTTTTTGGGAAAGCCACCATCCAATCCGGAATACATCTTTGATGCTTGATGGTGCTGGATATTTTATTTGTTGTGCAGCTCTCTTGGCATTAACTGCAGTTGTCAACAATAGAGGACAATCGCCCACAAGCCACTCTTGATCCTGACAAACCCTTGGTTTATAGATGCATATATATAGTGTATACGTGGAATGCCGGAATGCCACCACCAACAGAATGGTTTTTGGCTGGAAACTATGAACGCAAGGTGTTCGAAGAAACTGTGATTGTAAATCACAAAAAGCATGAAACTTCATGAACCATCACGTCGTTCAAGAAACTATCTTCACGTCAAAAACAGTTCAATTTACGAACCAAAAACCTGTTGTCTATCTCAGTGCCCCGTTCCCTCCAAACCCCCGAACCACCCCGACCCCCGTGCTCCCTCCAAACACCCCCCAGCCCGGCTCGCACCGGTGGGAGAGACGGAGGTCATCCAAATCGAGCACCTGATGCAGCAATGCAAAAGCCGATTGGTGCAAGCCTTCGAGGACCAACGCGACGGAGACGAGATGGGGCCCGACACATCCCATCGATGCCGAGACGGGAGGCAGAAGGCGAAGGCGAACAGGAGTTGAGTCGACTCAAAGCACTCCACCTTCAAGTTTGGGAGGCCTAAAATCAGAGAGAGAGAGAGAGCCGAAACGAAAAGTCACTTCAGTCTTCAGAGAGCCCTCTCAGTCTACAAGCTTCTATGTTGGATGCAATGCTGCTGCGCAGCGGCGACTTGTTGCAGCGCAGTATTTGCTGATGTTGATCCTTCACGCATTCCGTGAGAGGAAGCATCATCAACCTGTGTCTTCATCATTCTTCATCCACTTTTCTCCCTTAAAAAAGACACCAGTTGGGTATGCTAAGTTGGGTTCAACACACGACCCATTGCGCTGTTTGGGGCTTTCAGGAGTTCTATGATCAGAAGTACGGCCATTTGGTGAAGCAAGAGGCGCCGGGCTGGAAGACCAACAACCGAAGACACCCGCTTTGGTGAAAGCGTCTTCGGTCTCCGAACACTGCGCGCGCGGAACGCGTCTTCGGGTGTCCTGTTCGCATGGTTCGTCTTGGTGTCTTCGGGGATATGAGGCCAACGGAATTCACCGGAGGCCATTGGCCGAGGTATGACTGTGACATCAAGAACTTACAAGCCCTATACTATGAACTGACAGTATCTCAGTGCAGTAGTAAGATGTAGTAAGTATATTGGACATTATTGGACTTTTTTAAAGCATATAAATCTGCAACCTTTCTTCTTTCTCAGTTGGCAGAACTCGGGTCGACGCCCGGGTAGCCCACCGGAGTCCTGACTCGCAGGCGCCGGAGGATGAAGGCGAACGCTACGATCCTCAGGCGGTGGTGCCGGGCGATGAGACCCGTAGGTTTGCGTTCGTTTGTTGACATGTTCCCCAAGATGCCCCAATATTTTTTGGTGCTAGGAGAATCACAGTGTTTATCCATTTGTTTATATCCCAAACACTCCATGTATGCCATATTTACCTACATTGGAGTGGTTTGAGGGGCCAACGTAGGCAAATATTATGGAGTGTCTGGGTATATTAATGCCATTGTTCTATTTTATTATATATATGGTATTTAATTAGTCTTAATTGTTTTCTTTGTTATAAATTATATAGACATATTACATGAGCCCATTCTCCAAAAAAAGACGTATAAAACCGTTATTGCTGGTTAGAATCGGGTTCAGCCTCGACAGAGGGAACCCCTCGACGGCCGCCAGGAGATGTTTGACCTCGCCGAGGCCGATCGCCTGGAAACGCGGCACCCCGATGCCATGGCGTGCGCCGCTGCGGCCGTGGGGGAGGGGGAATGGCGCGAACGACCATGAAGTGGAGGGGGGCATTCCCCATGTGTGTGTTGGGGGACGGGAGAATGGATGACAGCAGGTTGAACCAATCTTCTTGAAAGGTTCATGATAAGGTACTTGTGAAGTCACACGTAAGGTGATTCCTGGTGTTGATTCGGACGACTGGTTCGGTCCGTTCGGTGGCTTCCAAGTTGGGGGGTATGGATGGCCTCGATTCATCGCAACTCTCAAGGAACGGTCGATCTCGACTTGACCGCTTTGCCAAGGCTTCTTGTGAATCTTTTGTATAGAAGAAGGTACTTGCCAAGGCTTTATTCTCGACTTCCCAATGTGAGCTTTTCCTCTTGTATGGTTTTTCCTTTGGGCTTTGCACATTTGGGCCGAAAAGCTTTGGAGACTTGGTACTGGAGGAAGACCCAGACGCGGCGATGACAAACATGGAGTCGACGCCGTCGACGCGGAGTCGACTTCTTCCCGAAAAACAGCCGACTCCACACACGGGTGGCGAAACCGATGGCTCCATACAAAGCCTGTTACAGCCAGGCTTAGATGGTCTCAACGTTGCTAAGCCACAGCAAAATCATGGCGCTTGACCAAAGTTTCAGCATGGCAACCAGGTGAAGACTAAAGGAAGTTATTTGGACATTCAGCGGCTGTGTCACATCTCTTGGAGGCTTGAATGTGCCTCGGTATGAAGCTGTATTTTGTTGAACACACACACACACACCACACATCATATATGATATATCTTGGGTTTTTTCGGTCCTATTACCCGTAACAGTCAGGAAACAATTATCTCACTGTTTTTGAACAAGGCCTTCACTAACAAACAGTCGTGCACTCTTACTGGTAATAGGATGGACCCAATATATATGTATATATATATAATATATATATATATCAACCGTGGTTTCAGACATTGTCCTTGTTTCAGAGCACGTTTTTGGCGACTTTCTGAGAGACATGGAGCAAGCTGAGCTGGGTCTATGTAGCAACATGAAGATTGATTTGGAATCTTGAGGATTCACAGGTGATACGAGAAAATTCCATAGATCCTCCTGCCATTTGATAGACCATGATAGACCTATAGTTCAAATCTTGAGAATTCTCAGGAATCACTGCAGCGGCCCATAGATGCCATATATAGCCATGATGGTCGCCTTGATTGCTATTTTCTGGGGGCACCCTACTACTGATTCTCCATCCGCTCACTCTCAGCCATAGCCCTGCTGAGCGCATGGCCCTGCTGCCGCGCTGGCGCGGCATCTCGCGGCGTCCGACCACGTGGGCAGTATGACTGCTGCAGCAAAGGATCGGAGACCAACTCTATTTGGGTCAATTTTGGGTGTGCTGTAATCTAGTCGGGCACCAGTAGGACTCAAAAAAGGGTGAATGTACACCCTTTGAGTGGGTGCTTCCCTAGTTTCGATAAAGAGGACGCATTGTTTTGGGTGCGCCGCGCGGGTGTGTGTGTATGTGTGTGGGTTGCCTCTTTGAAGCGGCAGCAATTCCAAAGTTTTCTCTATAGCGCTCTGATTATTCTGGGCCCGGAAAGTTTCACGGTTTTCGCGTTTTGGCCCAAATGGTGAATGGTCAACTGGGCCGAAAGACCAACATGCTGCTTGCATTTCTTTTCCGTTTTTGGATCTTCTCATTTCGTTATACTTTTTGTGATGCCAAAAACATGTCATTAGCATCGTTGGAAGATGAAGTGAAATGGACTTGCAGCAACAGGCCATCGCATCAAATCACGCAAACAACGCCACAAACCATGAACGAGACTGCCTCACCTCGTCCACTGATTTCTGCAGGCATGGCATGGACTGCCGTTCTGGCACGGACGGCTGGGGAGTGGAGAGGCCCAAGGGCCGAAACCGGACGGCCCGAGAGGCCAAGAACAAGACTGCTTCAGCAGTGCAGCAGCAGTGTGACCTTGCAATTTTAGCATCTAATACGAACATAAAAAATACATCCATCATGTACAACCACTGACTGTCACTGGTGCTGTTGACTCTAGTGGTTCAAGTCATCTATACTTCTGAGAAGGTGGTCGTTTCGGCGCGACATGCATTGACCAATATTGATGGACAGGCTAGACGATGCATATATTCTTTGTTTCTTGGAAGAGGTTTCATGATGAGGTCAATTGATCATTTGGTCGGCGGAAGCTGGGACTCTGCCATCAGCCGATGTCAACCCCGGAATAGAATTCGATAGGATTCGTCTCTTGCTCCCAGCCCTGAAGCTAGTAGCGTGAATGACAATGACGTAAATCAGGAATCCTGTATGATCAGTATGCCATACTACCAGCACCACGGAAAGGGCTGTTATTGGAGGGAAGATATGTAGTCGGGGGTGTCTATAAACCATCCTTTCTGTGGTGCTGGTACCTGTCATCTTTTCTGGAAGGTGGTGTGCTTTACTCCTGGCAGCTCATCATCGTGACCCAATCCATGGCCAAAGACACGCCACAGTGTGTTTCGACTGGCCCTTTCCACTTACTGGTGCTTAGTTTGAGTAGTTTTAGAATACGGGCATGACCCATTATTATACCACGTACACATACAAGTACCTTAGGATTCCATTCCCTCATCCCTTCCTAAGTTCCGGTCAGCCGATTGTCAGCCACGCAGGTCTGGCCTGCGCCGGCACTGGTGGCCCAAGAGGCCAACGAGGCGCGGCCGGGCTTTAGCAGCTGCTCTGCGGACGAGTACGAGGACGGCCGGCTGCCGAACGCCCGCAGCGGACACACCGGGTGCGGGCTTTTGGATCGGATTTTTCCGGGAAGCCGAACGAACAAAGATGAGGAAGACTTGCAGGGTTCGTGTATATACTTTGTGGCGACTGCAAAGTTCCTTTTTCCTTTGTACACAGATCACAAGTTCCGCTGGCAGGCCACTTCGCTTGTCTTTGTTGCAGCGAGTTGCACGTCACGTGAGTCCAGTTCAGCGAGTTCTGCAGATGTTTGTTTTGTTTGGGTGTCGCGCCATCGACTGCTTGCAGCATCAATCGCGATACAGTCCTGAAGCATCCTGAAACACAGGCAGTCAATTGCCGAAACTACTACTTGTGTTGTGTAAGTTGTTCATGTTAGCTGTTTATATTGAGGCAGGCAGCCCCACAACAGAGATCTTTGCGCCATCAATGCCCTTTTGTGTTGGTTCAATCTGGCAAATGGAATGAGGGCGGGCACAGAAAGTCCAATTGAGCAGTACGATGCTGTTATTCGGCACGAAAAGTTGATATCTGTGCCGTCCGTGAATGTCCCCCTTCGCCCGACAGGTTCGCACACAGTTCACAGTTCATGGTTTTCTGGTCGACGATTTTCCTAGGACATGCGACCGCACCCTCTTCATCCGTCTTCACTTTGTTTCTTTGGTTTGTTCTTCAAAGAATTCCATGGCCTATAATATCCTAACAACATCAGATATATAAGCCTTAGATGGTCTTAGAAGAGATTGCCTGGTAGCCAGTGCTGCAACCAGTGAGAGGCCTCCAAGTGACTAACTGGGACTTCCACACAAAGCGCGAGGATTTGCCTGAGGTCTTGGCAGCCAAGGCCAAGGTGGTTGCTGACCTGTTGAGGATTGGGAAAGGGGCCGGGCAATTGGAGGATTTATTGTTTGAAGCATCACTGGAAACTCAGCAGACAAGCTTGAGCAAGCCGAAACCGAAACCACGGCCTGAAAAAGGTGCCTTGCAGACTCGAAGGTGAAGGACAGGCAGCTTTGGAACTGTTGACCGTGCATGTCATTCTCCGCACGTTTGACTTTGAACACCAAGCTCAGTTTGTCGCTCATCTCAGGAGGAGCCGTTACACGGTGGCCTATACGGGTGCAGGCATTTCCACTGCAGCTGGCATCAAGGCTCTGGGACGACGATTGAGCCGATGTCTTGTCCTGTCTTGAAAAGCAACATCCGATGAAAGCTTGGAGACAAGACCAGAGATTGTCAGCTCAGCAGATAATTATAATACTTATCAGAATACAATCAGTGATTATAGTTATAGATATATACACATTGTTCATTGTTTCACCATGTACATGCATTAATTGAACGAGTTTCTTAGAATCATTTATAAAATTATATGATTAAAGGACCTTGTGGTCACTGTTGTCCTACTGTTCTTTGTTCTTGTCTGTTTTCACAGAGGTCCGACCTCGGAAAGTCACAACCCACTCGAACTCCGATGTGAAGGACTACGCTTCAAAAGCTCAAAGCAGCAAGGCTGGTCAGAAGGACATCGACCTGAGGGAATCGCTGAGGCAAATCGCTGTGGAATACGGTCGAAGGCTAATCTTGTGTTCTTTTTATATAGATCGCAGCACAGTGCAAGCTTTAGGCAACAAGATATGTCACACTAGTCGCATTTGGGATTGCAGCGACCTTTTTGCAGAGGTCTCTGTTCCTTTTCCCAATGGCCTGAGGCATGAGGCCCATTGGTCTCTTTGACCGAACAACTCAAAAAAGTCGGAGAAGCACAAAACACAGCCTATGGGTGAGTTCCTAGACATACTCTGGGGTGCCCTGTATACCAGCGCTTGAACCACCCAGTAGCCGATTTTTTTCAGATGAAGTGGTCTTCATGTATATACATTCTTCAGAACTAGGGGTATATATGACCCTTACCATCCTTCACCCATAAAACCCTCCATAAATCGATACCCTTTACCGTAAATCTTCTACTCTACACGGCTACACCGGGCATCACACCGGGCGCCTAAGAGGTGAAGCGCCTGGTGACCCACGAGAGTCCGGAGGAGGGGCTAGAGGCGGAGCCCACGACAAGCCACAGGCGTGGGCCAATCGCGATCGGCACCGGTGTTACATATAATGATTGATTGATCATGACGTGTCATGGCTGTGACCTTTTTGCACATGATCACTCATTCGTAGGAGAACCAATTAGGTTGTCCCCACCTGGGACCTATCCACTCGTTGGATGGGGATTTATGGCGCGATTGAAGCATCCAGGGCTTTAAACCTGAACGGGTGGAGGACAAAAGACAATATCTTGACACGCAAAGAAGACGTAGCCAACGTTTGATTGCATGTACCTGGAATCACCTGTTCACTGAAATCCATTTCAGCAGGGTTTCTAAGCCCTTTCATCTACGCGAGAATTGCTGGTGTCAAGGTATGTGGCCCAACCTTGTGATGACATATACAATATAGTTAATGTATCACTTTCCTACACTGTTTTTTGAGTTGCCACAGTGCCACAGAGGAGCAAGATGACAGTAGAAAGGCAAAATTCATTTGCAGGTTGGATACCGTTGGTGGGTTTGCGGCTGCAAGATGGACCAAACTCTTCTGTTCCATGTCATTGTTGATAAGCCATTTACGTATTGAGCATCCACGTACGCGTCTAGACACTTTGAAGAACGGAGGCAAAACCGCTCGCAGGCAAGGAACGGAGTGATTGTTCCAGCTGAGAGGGATTTCTTTAGCAGTGCTCCGTCGTTCAGCAAAGAAACCGAACCGAATCCTTGCGAAGACCAGGTCTTCGCTTTATCAGACTATGAATCAGACAACGAACGAAGCCTATCCCGTCCGCTCGTCCGCTCCAGATTCTTCGTGGCCCTCTGGCGGAAGAAGCTCCTCCACCACTGGGTGCAGCAGAATCACGATGGCCTACCCCAGAAGGCCCACCGCGGTGGTCGTCTCCCTTACGGTCTGCGGTTCGAACCGAACGGAACGGAGAACCGAACGCCGACCACGGAAAACCCGGAGGTCCGGAGCCGTTTCCCCAAGCCGAGGTGCCCCCCGAATTTCTGTGGTTTTGGAGGCGTTTTCAGGCCAAGCGTGTCGCCAGGCTTAGCAAGAGAGAAGTGACGTGATGACTTGACTGGGCTGCGACTTGACTCGACTGCGGAGGCCGGATATCCTCAGCATGCCTTGAATGAGATCCATGGCTCATGGTTCGATCCCTCCAACCCTGTGGCCTTTTGAGCGGCAAGAAGGGTCCCGGGCCATGCGCCGCCAGGCGATTTTGGGTCCGAGAGATGTTCGTTGAGCGGGCGGTGGTTGCGATGTTGAGGTAGAGACTGGTGGCACAAGTACAGTAGTAGAACAGCACTGGTCAGGGAACGTCATCATCCAAACCCTTTTTGGCAGTCTCCATGTCTATAGGATTGTTCAGGAAAAGGTAGAGTCATCCTCGAATTTGTAGATGGATTGAAGACAATCCGCCCATCCGAAGCAGATGTTATTGTAGTTTCGGTCTTCTCAGTTGGGGGAGTTCCATCCATTACCGCTTCACAGACCCTCCGACAACACACCCCAATGAAACATCCTGCGGACTCCTTCCCCCCAAAAAAACGGAAGTGTAGACAGGTGTATGGAGCCCTTTCACATGGAGCCTCAGACAGCTCTCTCCTACTAAGTGGCTAAATATCGCTCCACCTCAAGTCTTGGTGCTTTTCGATGCTTTGTATTTGTTTGTCCACCGGACCACCGGACGGACTTCCCCCCATTCTTCGCTGCGCCACTTCTTCGCGCGTGCGCCGATCTCAAGGTCCACTTCCGCGCCGAGCTGCGCTCCTCCAACTTCGGCTGGCTCCTCGACGCGGAGCTCCGTGCGGAGCTGGTCCTGGCCGTGGGGACCTCGCTGTGCGACACGCCCTCCACAGCGGACGCCTGGGCCGGACACAGCACGGGGAGGACACGCTGTCTCAAGATGGCTCATGTCGGCAACACACAGCACAGCGTTGCAAGGGGAAGGACGATGGGTGTCTCCCTTCCCTTGTCATACACACACATAATGTAATATATATATTATATATATAATATACTACACATTTTGTTTGATCCAGGAAATCAAAGGAGTTTCTCCCCATCACAAGCGGTCAATGCACCTACTGACCGCAGTATCCTTACTGGCAACCTGGATGCGCATCACTTCCTCATCCAAGCCTGTCATCCCCTTGCAGCCCAGGATCGTTTGGTAGTGTCAGCCGCAGAACATGCCCACAGCCTTGGTGCAGTGGTGGTGAGCCTTCAGCGTACACGTCGCGTGGTGAGCGTGTCTCCGGTTAGTTTGCCATTGGGGAGTGGAATCTAGGATTGAACAAGTGCTCAGAAAAAGAGACTGCGCACTTGATTAGTACCCCTCACACAGGCCCTACCACCCTCTAATAGTAAGGGCCCTCCCCCTGTTAATCAAGCCCAGCCTTTGGCCTCCATCTTGTCTTGCGTCTTCTTTTCTCCTGCAATCCTCTTTCTTTTCCAAATCATCCCAATCAAAGAAAGTATCAAAGAAAGTATCCAAATCAAAGAAACACATAGAAACACATATCCATTCAGTGTCCTCCTCATCCAAACCTTCCCAATCAAACCACTGATTGGACACTTGCTCATACACCTCTCATGCTTCACACAGAATCCCATGGTTCCCATCATCCATCATCAGGTTCAGGTCATTACCTCACCATCCATCAGGTCATCACCTCATCCTTCGGGGGAGTCTCCAACACCATCAGGTCATCAACCCTTGTTGACCTTGAAGGGTGGCGGGGGTGGTGGGGGTTGATTAATCTGGTGTTGACCATATCACGAAACTCCAGAATTGATCTCCTTGTTGCGGTGTGACCACCCCTCCACGGCCGGCTGCGGGCTCCCAGGCCTCGATCGCCATGTGCAGCTGAGGGTCTTTGCCGAAGCCGACCACTTCTTCCAGCTCGTCGCCCAGGTCACGGGTCGGTTCGGTATCTGGTAGACCTGCCCAGTATGGGCACATGTCGTACCATTTTGAGAACTATTTTGTACTTCTGGAAAGCTTGCTTTGGTCACTGGGGTGGACTGTCTTGAGTCGGAAAGCCATCTTTGCTTAGTTGATGCTTGGTGCCATGTGGGACTTTGCGGAGCGAATTAGCAGCTGTTCACAAACTGTCAGGGTCAAAGAGGTTGGAAGATGCACTGCAGATGCATAATAATGTTTCTTTGGTTTTCTTTGTAGATGATGTGTCCATCATAGATCGTCATGGATCACTATGATGATCTAATGTTGACCTCTGATTAATAAACGTACATTTTTTGAAATTTTGGAAAACCCTAAATAAAGTTCATCCCATTAGCTTTATTTAGTGTAAACTTTATTTAGGGTAAGGTGGCTTCATGAAAATCCATTAGCTTTATTAGGGTAAACAAGATTTGTCTTTTTTTTGGCTAACTTTATTTCGGGTCCCTTTATTAATCAGGTCGCAGGGTTGGCTAACTTTCGGTTAAGAAGAAAAAATCTTTCGCGTCGACGCTTCAAATTTTCCATTCGATCGACGCCTCCAGGAACTGGAGATCCACCTGTGTGAACCAGAGATTTGTGACGCACCTGCACAGGCACCTGGAGGAGGGAGCTCGATCGGTTCAGATCTTGGGAAATCGACATCAACTGGCGAACTGCTCCTTGAGTGCTGAAAGCAAAGAAAGCACCAAATATGGCAAATAAGTACTGGTGGCCATATAGTTTGGTGAGATTTACTGGGCAAATCCTCATCAGCTTCTACTAGCCCGATAGACAAGCCTAAAGGTTCTCCCATATGTTTCAATCTTGTACATCAAAAGACCACAGTACCAGATGACACCTTGACACCTTTAGTACACACATGTACAAACCATCCGAAATGTAGCAAGCATATGAAGATCAACACCACTCTGAACTCCATTGTCATAACATCCCTTGGGAATTTATAGCACCCTGTGTCCTAGCTGGGTCCCAGCTTGGAAGCTGCTCATTCGTGCAGATTGTGCTCCCCGACTTGGTCTACCTGGCCGCGGGACCCTCCGCTGGGCGGGCCCTGCGCTGGCGACGCAAAGGCCGATGGGATGTCCCCACACTGCATATATGTGAGCTATGTAGATGCACTTGGGTTGTTTTCAAGAGCTCCATATTGAGGCATACTACACCTCTCCATTCCGAGGTTTAGGGTCCATGATGACCCGTTTGTTCGACTTCACCCGGACGGAGCTGTGTCTTTGGTACCAGATCCACGGTCGGACAGGGTGCCAAGGTCTTTAGAACACGCTGTACCTGGGTCGCCGCGTTGCCCGTGGAAGGCTCTATGCTGGAGTTGGATGGGGGGCATCTTATGGGTGCTTGGTGGCCTGGCGAAGACATGGCAGAGATGTCTCTTGATGACTCATGAAGTCCGTGAACTGCTATGACCACTTCATTGGAGTAGGCAGTAGGCACCTCTCTTCCAAGTAGACTTCTGGACATTTGCATCAATTACTGTATATCTCATTGCCCCAAACAGGCCCCAACAATTGGGATTTCAAAGGATTTCCAAGATTCAATTTGATTATGGTGACAAAAAGGATGATCAGGACAGAGTGGAAGACTCCTGGACTCTCCTACTCATACTTGGTTTTTGACCTGAAGTTTTCACTATGTTCCACTCGCATCGGTGGGATGGCCTGACGCGATCTGGATCCTCAGACCCATCTACCACGTGACGGTCAGTCATGTCCCCCTTCGAGCCGAGCGGCAGAGGTGGCTGAGCTGCCAGGCACATCCATGCCCTTTCCCCTTGGCCAACACCATGAGTCGGCCGATGCGTGCGCGGCGGGTCATTGATGCTGCACGTTTGGTGGAGGCCGGAGATTTTGTTGGATTTGAACCTGGAACCTAGACTTGGTTTGCTTCAGGTGGGATTTGATGGTTTGTATATGGAGATTCTGTATGTATTTCTGCAAATTATTGGCGTTGTTGCAGGGGTAATTAAACGAAGATGGAGATGTTAGGGCTTTGTTGGTGGATGTGTTTTGGTGTCACTGGCAGACCGGTCTGACGCCTGGACGTTTCAGGAGTGCGGAGTCCTGTCCGACGATACATTGTCTTTTGGGAAATGAATCTCATCCCTTCTGAGACAACAAGGAGGTGGAGCCAAAACTTTGGAGCATTGTTTTCTTGCACAGCTCATATGACAATCCAAGAGAGGTTAAGTGACCTGTACTATAGGACATTAGGACTGTACTATAGGGTACCTAGTAGGGCTAGTCTATGGGTTTTTGTTCCACCTGCCCTGGATGTCTATTGTGTGTTCTTTTCTTCAGAGTCTTCACGGGCACCTCACATCGGCTTGCCGGGGCCGGGTCCCGCCGACACGTCCCGGCGTGTGAAAGGATACGCCCATGTGTCACGCAAGACATACGCCCAACGACACAGAGCATGGATGATAGACGTGAGTATACTACGTATACAATTGCACACACACGACACCTTACCTTTGGTTCATCTAGATTCTACAGGTGGTGTCACACGATGTTCTGGCCTCGAGCTCTTGAGGAAGGTAAAAGCAAGTGGCCTGCCCCGCCCTCGGGCTGTTTCAAGAGGCCATGTTGCATCATGGAAAGCACATGTGACTCTTTGAGTTTGCAGTGAATCCCAATTCAAACAGGCCCCATGTCCGCGGCAGTTGTGTACTGATCTGTACTGAATTCAGTAACTCTCCAAAGAAGCCAAGGACATTCGCGAGTCAGTGGGATCCCGTGATCTCTAATCAGTCAGGCATGACACAGGTCCCGTCAGGATGAGAACGACGCTAAGCACGAGCTCGACGTGATAGGCATTCTGCTAATTCCACCAGATCAGTCTTCATGGCCCATCCAGGCTGACATTTTGGCTGTTCCCACATCTTCGACACACCCTTTAGACTTCAGACACAGTTTCAGACCCTTTATGGTTACATACCCCATTGATGGCCCTCCATCTTCCTTTCATGTTCACCTCACCCTCCCGGAGGCCCCCTTCCTCACCGGCCCACCGGCCGCCTTCCTCAGCGGCCGCTGGCGGGGCGATGCGCTGCGGCTCGCGGGGCGCGAGGCGCACCCCAGCGCCGAGGCGGAGCGGGCGCAGGACCTCTGTGACTTGCAGGGTGAAGGAGCTAGAGTGATTGGGAGTGAAGAGCCAAGGATGGGATTGGCTTCAATGGGCTAGATGGATTTAGGGAACGAACGACCAGGGGATGCCCGATTTCCCTTTTGAAAAAGGCCAATGGGGCACCCTGTTGTGAGCAGGTGCTATCCTCGTGGCTTGTAGGTTGATGGATTTTCCAAATAATTCTTTAGTCGTGGATGTCCAGAGGTGGTGATGTTCCCAGTTAGAGGGAAGAAGTGATGGGTCCCATTCTTACCTGTGCAATCTAGTAGATTTACTCCCTATATTATATGAGGGCCGTCCGTTATTGCCAGTGAAGGAAGTTAGATGACATGTTAAAACATACATGTCGCGAAAGGGAAACTGCAGTCCGCGAAAGGCCATAGGACGGCGAAAGACATGTGCCAACCTAAACTTATAACATACAATGTGCATAATAATACAATACATGACAAATCCTTTTTCCCGAACAGAAACACGGATTTTCGCGAAAGGGCCGCGAAAGGCCGGCGGTAGGCCCGCGAAAGGGCGCATTGCCTGGAAGGGCATTTGCCCATCCATGGCCTTGAAACCTTTGTTTAGATATCCCAAGCACTGTGAACTCAGTGCAATGGAACAAGCTTATCACACTGCGCGAAAGGAACACCTGTGGTTTTTCTGCGAAAGGACCGGGAAAGGCCGGCGATACAAGCTCAAAAAGAAGAGCTTTGTTGGACAACCCCCATATACTGACATGTCAAAGTGAAAATGAGAAACAGTTACAGTTACAGTAGCCTGCAGGATGGGATCCTCTATTAAACACTTTTGGATATCAAGGTCAGCCGCTGATTTTGGACTCCCAAAGTGAAACAAGGCGATGAAACAGTTCTTTACAACTCCAGGTTGTCCCTTTGCTGTTGGAGATTAACCACCAAAACTTGTTGAACCCCCGGCCATACCCACAAAAAGAGCAGCATAGAGCAGCATGTCAGAGGCTCAATGGGGTCAAAGAGCGCCGACATGGAGCGTTTGGTGGAATCGTTTGGAGGGCAATCGAATTGTCTAGGTGAGTCAGTTTCCGACTGAAAAGCGGTGGTCAGCCCAGGTTGGGTTCTTGTAGTGCAAGGGGAAGAGCTTGCAGGTTGCGATGCTGGGGCGGTTCGGGCCGTTGGATAGTGGGGCTCACTGGGCTTAGGCATGTTTGTTCGGCCAGTAGACCATGTCAAAAGGATTACATATCTGCCCCAGAACCCCAAGGGGGTGGTGAATTAATGGACATCCCCCAACTGCTATGGCGCTATAAATAGACACCCCTTGAGAGGTCCTGGCGGATAAGTGCTTAGGGCTAGAAGTCGAAGCGCCAGTGGTGGTCGTTTCGAAATGACCGAATGTGACCTCGGTCTCTTTCGGTGTGTTGTTTGCTTCACATGAAGCCATCCTTAGGCGAGAGATGCTAAGCATTTCTGCGGATAGAAGACACCTTAGCTGGAACAACACAACAAGATCAGGATACGGGATACGACTACTAGATTGCATCGGAAGGGATTCTCTACTTGATGGTCGGCTCCTTCAATCATTTTGAAGAATGCAGCATACTAAGCACTCTGAACTGAACACAATTGCACATGGATTGCCTGAAAGAGGGGATTCTCCCAACCTCTGCCGGTGGAAAGGAACCTGTACTTTAGATCATCGAGTGACTGGGCCAGGCGGTGGTAGTAATCAAAGAGCAACGCCAGCGATGATGAACCGCTTCCGGTATCTAGTTGCTTATCATTGGGATTGCTGATTTTCTTTCTGGCATTCTTGATGCATGCTGCATGTTGATTCCATGTGTTACTTGTTCTCCAACCAACCGATGCCTTTTCCCCCGACACCAACGCCTTCTCCCCCCGCGCACCGCCGCCGCCCAGGCGTCGGCTTCACCACCTGGCCCGCGGCGCACGTGCTGTGCGGCGCCGCCGGGCGGACGTGGCATCGCCTCGTGGGGCGCGTGGCGGAAGGCGGAGAATCGGGTGGAACGTGGGATAGTACCGTGGTGAGTGCCTGCAGGTCACTGGTTTTTGGGGGGAAATGTGTTTTTTCCCATGCAAATCTCTGTTTTTGGTTTTCTTTGTTTATATAATGTGTGTTTTCTATATTTTTTAAAGAAGAACGACACACGTGCATCTTTTGACATGTAAAAAAGATGACCTGTTTTGGGGGATTGGGGATGTCCCCCACTAAATATGTCACAGATGGAAAGTTAGATGAACCATGGCAACGGAGTGTCCATTGCGCGGGTGTGAGCACCAATATTCGCAAGCAAAAGGATTCAATCTTTCGTACATTAAGAAGGGCAGTGAGAGTCTCTTTGAGACAGAATCCTCAAAGAACAAGGACGATCACAGGGGCGCGACATGAGTGCGTATTTTGACCAATGGGTTCGGGTATATTTTCTTTTCCAGCGCTTCCAGGGGGTCGAACTGTGGTCCATGCCACGGTGATGTGGGCCTCCGCCAGAACACCCAACTTTCATCAACAATCAAACTCAAACTCTGTCAACTAGAATGGACCTTCCCACCTGGATGGGTTGTTGGGGTTGGTAACTGGAAGCATGAACGCCTTGTGAAGTAAAGTCCGGAAACCACTTAGCCACACTTAGCCAAAAGCACGGCACAGAGCGGTGAAGCATCCCAAACTTCTGAAAGGATACAACTACTCCGCGGTGGTTTGGAAGTTGTGCACAACATCGACAACCAAATTGGATGTCAATCAATTCGGGATATCGAGGAATGATTCCAGAGTTAACCTAAACCTAAACCATCCATGTAGACTTTTGATGACTGTTGATCAATAAATCCATAAAATTGAATTGGACATCCTCTTCAAAAAAATGGGGGGGTGTATTGGACATCCAAGCGACCGCCGTGAGGGACTGGGAGGAATCGTCCCACTACTCGGATCGCGACCCGACTCGTCGACCCGTGCCAGCCAGGCGGTTTGGATCGGTCAATAGCACTCGAATCGCATCGAGTCACAGCAGTGGGGACCATGACGAATATCGGAACCACGGTCGTATCGTGGACCTTGTCATGTCCCTGTGGGTGCTTCGGAGCCCACGAAGCGAACTGGGTATGTGATCCACTACTTGGTACACAACCGGTTTTTACGGCGTGTCCTGGATCAGTGGCAACCACCAACCAACCAAGTGGTGGGGCCGCCTCGCTGCAGGTGGCACCTTTCAGCTGGAGCTCACCTGGGAAGACGTGGTGGCCTCGCGCCGCCCCTCAGAGCCGCTGAGTGAGCAGCAACGCTGCGGCGGAAGATTGTGCTGCCAGGCCCCGATGGTGGGGAGGAGGGACAAAAGCGCCGCTGGCGTCGAGATGCAAGGGGGGTGGTGGAGCTTCATCGCCATGGATTTCCAAGCGGGAATCGAGCGAGTTTGTTCGGGTGAATCGCCCTAGCAAAAGAGTGAAAAGAACCTACGATGGATAGGGTCGTATTTTGGAGGAACGTCCTCTAAAACAAATGAAACTTGATTGAGGGCGGTGACTCCCATCACAGCTGTCAATGAGAACAGCCTGCTCAGTTCGGGTGGTAGGTCCTTGCAGCGCCAAGAACATCACATTTGATTTGCTTGCGAGTCACAGAACGGCGCCATGTTCGGTTTGCTAGGGGATTTTTGGGGGTGACACCCTCCAGTCACCTTCTCGTAAAAGGTACGTATGTGTATTTTCAAGGATTGAAACATCCAGTTCCCTCGCATCACCTTCTCACCATGTCGGATCCAGGATGATTCAATGATTCAGGGATTTCATGCAATGTCGTATGTCGTTGATGTGGCTGCGGCCCAGATCAATGGCCGTGTTTGGTGGGATGACCGACATGGGCAATTCCTTTTGGCCGGGCTCTGGCAGGACGAGGAAGGCGCCCCGAGGGCGGTCTGGTGTTAATAGGCCAAGTCAGTGGAAACCATCTGTTTCTAGAGGACAATGGGCTTCCAAGGCACCATTGTTCACTGATCCATGATGATTCCAAGGAGTATATATAATCGTGTCTTGCGAAAACTCATCTAGCAATTGGAATCGTCTAATTTATACATTAATTTACTAAGTTTTTCCCCAAACAGTTTACTGTTGGGGTTCTATCTTAGAAAAAAGAGCTGACCACACTCACTGGCCGCGCCCTTGAAATCTGTGGCTGGGCTTTGTGGCTGGGCTCTGTGTCCAGGCCTTGTCCTCCTCTTGTCCTCTGTGGCTGGGCTCTGTGTCCAGGCCTTGTCCTTGTCTTGGCCGCGCCCCTGAACTCTGTGGCTGGTCTCTGTGGCCCGGTTTACTGGAGAGGAGTGTGGCCGAACAAATAGCGATGTCAATGCCGGGTGAAGGTAGGGCGTACCAAGAAATCAATTTTTGACAAATATTGGTCTAAACGAATCGTGTTGAAGCTGTTTGGGGTCTATGCTGGTAGATTTTTTTACTCTATAGTCTACTCATGTTTGTTCCCTTTACAGATTAACGACATCCCTAAAAAATAGCATTGCAAGAAGACAACAACTCATGCTCGCCTTTCATTGTCCAACTGCTGTGTACCAAAAACAGCTTCCATGGCTTGCATCGTGCAACTGCGTGCAACAGGGGGTCGTCAACTGCACATAGCCACCGCGGGTGTTCCAAATGGTTGAAAGGCCCCTTTTTTTTCTGATGAAGGGGAGGTTTGAGCTGAGCCATATGTCATGTCCTCCTTTGCTGAATAGTGACGTGGAAAAGGAATCTGGATGATCAAAAAAACTTTCCAGGATGCTGAAATCAGAGTTTTCCCGGAAAACACACAAACAAAGGCAGAAAACACCTCGGACTCCAGGCGTTTCATTCCCAACGGCAGGCGTCTCTGGTGCCTTGCTGATGTCGCAAGAGCCCAACGCCTGCGCTGGACGATGGGACTCTCGTTGCGACGAATGTTGCAACGCCGCGACACCGGCGACCGGGGCGTGGAGTGATTGGAATCGGAATTGTTGATTTGCATTGAGATGATCCTTTTGAAGTTGCGATGTGGTTGCAGTACTGCGGCCATGAATATCATCACAGTTGCAGCCAAACATCACAAAAACTTGCAAGGGAACTTGAAACATGGCACTTGTCTTTGAAAGTTCAAGTCGGATGCAAAGACAGCTGTCCTCCAATCATTCTCTCATATATTTGTTCGGCATTGTTTGGCAAATCCACCGTCTTTTCTTCGGAAAACAATCGGAGCGGAGATTTTAGTACGATGCTGGTGCAGACATGCTTTTCAGAACATGAATCCATATGCCACTATGCCCACAAATAGGGTGTTTCAGTGTTTCCTTGTTTCCCTTTTCTGAGTCTCGCTCAGGAGGGCAGTTCCAAGCGCTACGTCTTGGCGGTGGCCGCTGGGCTGTGTTTGTTTTTGGCAAAATTAAATCAGAATCAGGCGTTGTATTGTTATCAAGGTTGATTTTTCTGTGGGATTGTGTGAATTCGAGTCTGATTGAATTTCCAGAATGTTGGCAAGTTGCATCTGCAATGATAATGATAATGATACTAGTATGTGCATCATTGTACAAATCCTTTTCATCCAAAAAAGAACCAGCTCCACTCCACAGAACTGGTCTTCCCGGCTAGAGGTCCTGTGTATCCCCCTACGGACGCAAGACTCAACTTGATTGATGAACATGGATCAGCATGCATCCCAGTTTCTTAGTATTAGTAGAGGAATAGATATCACCCGGCCGTCGCCCGGCCGTGTTTTGCCCAACCCCAACTTGTGTGAGCCTAGGACCCCGCGCAAAAGCCTGAAGCCTTCGGCATGGTCCTTGGTAACAGTGGCTTGGTGGCCATTTTGATGTGTTGTCAATGCGAAGCCGGATCAATGTCCTGTTGGAGACATTCTCAACATCTGTATCGGGTGGTTTTCTCTTGGATGATTTCAGGACGATTTGTTGACATGTTCGCCTGGAAGGGCATGGAGTTTGGGGTCAAGCGTTGTCATGGTGCTCTCGACTCTCGACTGAAAACAGTCCTCCTCCGTGATGTGGCACTTATTGGTTAAATTAAGTCTATTTGGCAAACATAAATATTATTAGTTTTTATATGTAGATACTGTTGACCCAGTTTGGAGTAAAGAAGCCCTTTTAGGGGGTTGGTGGTACCCCGAAAGCAGGTCCCAGGAATATGATGTGTGTATGTAGCTAACTGATATGATATTCTTTGCCACAGAGTTAATTGTCATTCTGCATGTCTTATCCATTTGAAGATTTACAGACAGCGAAAACATCGCGGAGCCCTTGGGGCTGTCCAATGAGCCTGCCTGGTTCTCCAGTTGCTGTCGCTGGTGCTTTCGCACCAGGGAGTGCGATACATTATGAACACCAAAGGTCCAAAGAGAACTAGACAGTCAATGGATCTAGTTGCCATGGTATTGGCCACCAATTCCAAAGCCTACACAAGGCTAGAGGTCCGTCGCATTCTGTTACATATCCGACATTGATCAATATACAAGGACTTTTAAAACATATATATCTAGACCTTCTGACTAAACCTAGCTCAAAAGCTCAACATATTCAATTTTTGTCGGATGACTCCTCTCTACAGGATTCTTCAAACATTTTGTTTCAGGTGTACTTCCGGCCCGTTCTCCTTTGGACCTCCCATTGTCTCTCCCGACTTTGGTTCTTCCAAGAAACCGAGGTGCTGATGGCCAGTTGTGAGGTGCTCAGTTCGGAGGCCATGAAGAGAAGATCCACCAGGCTCCTATCGTTTGGAGGTCACATGGAGGTCAGCTCTATCCGAACACGGACGTGGGACTGCAGAACAGTTCGGGGTTTCTCGGTCTCCTCAGAGATTGCAAGACATGTCATTTGTTTTTTTCATTGCTATCACTTATTTTATTCTATGGCATGTTTTTTTTTTTTTATATTTATATCCAAATTTCTTTTGAGTGGCGAGCATCTTGCTGTGGCGCTGCGTGTGGGTGCCTCTCGGGTCAAAACCCCTGAGATGTTGGGTCCCTTCCAATTTCAACAGACAGGATGCGAAGAGAATGGTGATGGATTGACCCGGTTTGTTTGGTTCTTTCTAGTCCTTATTGTCAAACACGATGAGGTAAATATTGTAATGGTGAACATGATGTTTGTCATTCCTCGGCGCAGTCGTTCTTTCCATATGCATGAAGGCTTCTGGACTTGGACATATTTAGACGCCAGCCCGTGATCCATTCTGCCCCTCAAAGCTGGTCCTGGAGCAAGCACATAACTTACGTTGAGACCTGAGGATTCGCGGCTTTTGCGAGGATGGCAAGGCTCCTTGCCTGCACATCCTGGTCGTTGAGGGAGATCCGAACAGGCAACATGTCTTAAGGCAAGCAGAACGGCCAACCGAACACGTAGAATTTCCACCCAAGCCGGAGAAAACGTCAACAACCGTAGTGCGGTGATTCCCCGCAGTCCGCAATGCAAGCAAGAGGTTCTAGCGCGGTCCAAGTCATTGGGCAGAGCTTGGAACATCTTGGAACACTGGGGTGGAGGCAGTGGTGCTCAGTACTTCCCAATGCCCACTTTTGCTCGCGCTCAAAGCGATAGTCGCAGGATCAGCATGATGCAAATCAGTATTCTGTCGGCAGATGGACGATGCCTTGTGGAACAAGGGCATAGTCCCGAGGTTTGGTTTGGGTCAGTCAGCCGGTCTGTTTCTTTTGCCGGTCCTTCTATACTTAGTATAGCTGAGGCTCTTTTTGGAGGTTCCCCATGTCTTAGGAACAGCGCATCTCGCATTCTTCCCTACTCACGCAGCATGGCTGGCCATGCCCCCTCCTCGGCCGTGGCATGGCTTCAAACCGCCTGGCTCGTGCTCGTGCTGGTGGCGTTGATCGCCGCCAGGTGATCCTGCAGCAAAACGATGCCGATGGATCGGTGCAACGGCAAACGTTTCAGCTTCGGCTCCATGATGCTGGTGCTTGGCTCGTTGAGAGCCACTCAGAGGAACGTGGATAGCCCCGCCTCCGCGGGAAGGAGGGTGTTTTTTGGACCCAGAGGCGTGGGGTGAAATGTCAAAGGTGCTTAAAGGAAAGCAATACCAACAAAAACAAAGATGATCAAAGATGATGGAGACGCACGCATTAAGGCTGGTCCTTACCTGATTAAGACGTGACATGAGTGTGTCCCTGAAAGTTGATGGACTGCAGAAGCAAAGCCGCAGAAGAACACCTGCTGTGTAGTGTAAAGATCAATTCATGACAGTTCGTTTGACCATGGATTTTACACCGACTTCTATCAGATACAATGGTGAGAGTAATGGTGAGGCCTAAGGCTGAACGTGTCTCGCTTTTTGCCACACATTTCCAGCTGCCATTCTTGACCCCTTGTAACAAGTAGATGAACCTTACCAGTTTCCCCTGCCGGCTTGTAAACTTCACCAGGACCATAGACAGCTTATTGGCAAATCCAAAAGCAAAATTATCAACATGCGTTTGCGTCATTTGACAATTACAAAAAGCTGAACTCCCTTGAACAGAGGGACTGTGGACTGTGAGTACATACACTCCATGGTCAACACACGAGCGGTATTTTGTTTTTGACGTGGCACATCGAGGCTTGTGTTTCGAAATGGCTACTATAGATGCTATACCAGTAACAAAGAGATACAAAGAGCATGTGCTACTGGTAACAAGAAGCTACGTTCGTAGCTCTTTGCTACTAATAGTCATGCCAGGAGCGCCCCGTTCGGTTCGCGTCCGATCGCTCCGACTCGCCGTAGCGATGCACCAGATGGTTGCCGAAGTCGCCGAGGTCCCTCAGGTCCACAAAGATGTTCCGACCTCGTTCCAGTTGCCTCGCAGGTGCTGGTGTTCAGTGGGCATATATATATATATCAAAAAAACGAAAGCCTGAATTGGGGGGATTGGTTTCCCCACCAAGAAATCCAACAGGTGGAAACAGGTTAACCACGATTAACCCCATTTTCCAGAGAAGCGGCTCGGGAGTCAGGGTGGTATCCCGGAGGTCGTCACCCTCAGCTCAACTGCTGCGTCTCAGCACCAAGGTAGTGGTGCTACCGTGCAGCAGATGCAGCCCTATCAGGAAGTGAAGGAGCTGAAGGAGATCTTGGGCTGTTTGGACACCTACGAAGCTCAAGGGCCGTGAGATGCAGTGGGTCGGTCCAATCGACCCACAAGAGTGTGCAGAGACTGAGAGACTGACCTGTGAACCCTCAGAACCCTGGGTCAGTCTTGACACACTCTTCATTGAAGATGCTAGAAATGGGTTGGAATCATGTAAAAGATGCTGGGCATGCTGGGATTGTGCATGCTTGTATGCATGTTGACCATCTAGAGTGAGTGGTTCGTCCCGCGCCTTTGTCAGTGAGAAGCGAGATACGGTTCCTACGAACGAAGGAACAAATCCTTAAACCCAAGACCGTCAAGACCCATAGATTTAGGTCACCAGTCCAAACCTATATACATGTTTTTTGTCAGACGATGAATCTTCGGTTACTCCCAATGTCTATAATATTCTATAATCCTCCAATTATTAACCAAAGGGAGTGCATTCACCAAGTCAATGTTCGCCAAAACAGACGGAGCTTCTATGGTGTCCTGCTCTCTTTGATGCAGATTGAATTCCCAACCTGATGAAACCCACACCGTAGCTCACCATCGTGGCCTTCAGGTTACACTCAGTCTTCGGGAGCCCAGTTGCAGCTGATTGAAGAGGAGGGGAAGGCGTCGGGGGGATGGATCCGGTCGTGAGGTTCGAAAACCGGTCGAAGCCTCCAACGTCGGAGCTTACAACCAGGGGAGCTTCGGTGATTCCGTAGGACAACGGCGGAAGACGAGAAGAAATCTTGTAGTCGACCCCTTGGTCCGTAAGATCCATAAGATGTATCTAGGCGTGCACCCAGAGAAATTTGACAACATCCAAGGGTGTTGCGGAGCAAAGAGAAACGGATTTCCCATATGTTCCAATTGCGTTTTGGCCCATCATGTTCTACCCAATTACTCCAGGATTACCCCGCTGGCTGCTTGCGTTTTTGTTGATGACTTGTTCAGGTCCCGGGATCCAGCCAACCTCATTCCCTCGCACCAGTCAGTCAGGTGAAGCTTCAGAAGGGTGATCAAGTTCTGGAACCTCCTGGACACCTCGAGCACGGTTGCTTGCGCCGGGGAGCACAGGTAGCACCGCTTTCAGGAGGTGGGCTTGGTAGACAGGCCAATGAGAGACAGGAGGTGAACATATTTGCAATTATAATGTTACTGTGGCTGTGGGTGGAGAAACACTCCCGATCCCAAACCCTTGTAACCCAAAAATACACTATTTGGAGCTCCAGGGTCTGTTGAATTTGGAGCTTCGTATTGACTTGACATGGCTGCAACTTGTGGAGCGCATGAAATCCTGAGGAAATCGGATCCGATTTCTCAGTCATCTCTCAGGTGGTGAACGCATGGTACAGGGGCCCGCCAAACCATCCTCTACCTTTCCTCCCGCTCATAACACCCAAAAAAACCTTGCTTCAAGCAATTTGCTTGCTCATGTGTGCGGTTTGTTGTTCAAGAATTGATAAGAAATGTAGTGTCCTTTTTGCCAACAAATTATTGTATCTATGATTATATGTATGATCATACTAGATAATTATATATATATGATTATGTGTGTATATATGTATATATATATATGTTATATATTTTGTTTGTGTGTATATATGTATGTATTATATATATATATTTGTTTTAAACATATGTATTTTGTTGTTGTTGTCGTTGTTGTTGTTGTTGTTGTAATCAGAGGAGTAGTAGTAGTAGTAGTTGTTGTTGTTGTAGTTGTTGTTGTTGTCGTAGTTATAGTTGCAGCTGCAATCGTTGTTGTTGTTGTTGTTGCTGTTGTTGGCAACTCGACTTCGTCCCCCCGATCCAAACCGAAAAAGACACGAAGAAGACACCTGGCAGGTTTGCACCGTCAGTGCGGTCGCTTGAGAGAGAACGGTCAACTGGAGTGGAGCAATGGCTCTCGTTGGACCCGGGTCGAAGAAAAGGATGGCGACGTCGAAGAGGATATGGATGGATCTGGACACCCTTTTGTTAAGCTCTCTATAAGAGTTTGTTTTAGGCGCTTTTCTAGGACATGGAATTTTTAGGATCCAGGATCCCTCCTTTTTGAGATTCTGTAGGGCCCTTATTTGCTGTCACGATCTAGGGTGTCAGACAGATGAATGTGGTCAAGAGTCAAGAATGATCAATCATGGACATAGTTACATGTTAGACATCAAACGACTCATTAGGGTCCAGATGGTCCAAGACCCATAACATGACCAGGCACATTTGGCCAACTGTCCTTTTCTCTCGTGTCTCATGTCTCATCAACAATTAGAACAAACACAGACCAACAACACATTTTTTGGGGTGTTGGACATGAGCCGGAGGACCCTAATGTAGTCCCCCATTCTTTTTTGGGTGGAAAGCACAAAAGGTCTTGGAACGTCGCAGGAGCGAACCACCTGCAGCCCGAGAAGGGGCGGAGCCGTCCGATAGCGAACCACTCGTTCGACTCATCGTCGTTCGACTGGGACGGCGGCAGGTACTGGAAGGCTCGAAAGAAGGCGGCACGAGAAGTGCGGCAGAAGAAGCTTCGTGGCATATGAGCTGCCGAGAACGCGGAGGGAGGTGCAGGTTGGCTCCACTGAACGCGAAAAGAGTCCTTTTTCAGTAGGATTCTGTTGGTGCAGTGGCCTTCGAACATACGATGGATCATACATGTTGTTCCGTTGATTTTTATTTGTCCAACTTGACTTCCTGGCTATGTTGTTTTCAAATTGTTCGCGGAAGCCTCCAAGATGTGATTAAATGACAATGTGACAATCTCTTTTTCCAGGCACGTTGAAACCATCCATTGGGTCATGGTGGATGTATGTTCAAGTCTATCAACAGTGCCGAACTCTGCAGATTCCAAGGATTGTCATTGTTGGTAAATTCCATGTTTACAACTACTTAGGGTCTACTACTACTATGCCAGATTCAAGCTGCGTTTAGTGGGATAGATGAAAACGAAGACTTGCACCTCCCAAGCACTTGCTGTCACTGCTGTAGCTTGAAATTCCGTGGTGCTATGAAGAGAGAGTGGCCACTAAGACTAGGATGTCTTATACAGAGTGTTGGACCCCCTATTGGGGGGACCACAACCATTTAATATAGAAAGACCAGCAGGCCCTTACAATAGACTTGAAACCATCACCTAGGGAGTGGTTTTTATAGCATCACAAGTACGCTGGCAGAGGTCAGACATACGTTGATATGGCTGTGGGTCAAACTGAAAGAGGTCTCCTGACCGGATCATGTCTCAGGCTGTCGTTGAATGTTTAGCCAGTGTAGTGTGTTCAAGGTGCTCGATCCTTTCGCCAGTGTCCTGGCAAGTGGGGTTTTGGGGTTCATGTCGCTTCTTTGGAAACAAAAGACACAGGGTTGCCCCCGGTGGGCCACGAGACGGGAGCCGAGAGTCTCGTCCAAAAGCTGAAGATGCCACGAGTTGAAACAGAGCGAAACTTCAGGGAACTGAGGAATGAACACCCCAAACAAAAAGTAAGTGATCCAAGTATTTTGGTTTGGAACCAAGATCGTTTTTTTTTGTGGCGCACAACCGACCCGAGACGTCTTCGAGACATCAGAGACCAGAGATCAGAGACGGCCCCCCAGTCTTTTGAACCACAGTCTTTTGATGTATTTGTACAGATGTCTCACCGTCTCGTCTCACCGTCGTCACTTCCTTCGGGGTCGACTCGGTCGACTCCGAGAAAAGACGCTGCGAAGAGCTGCCTTTTTTTCCCGGGCGCGTTGGGCCGTGCTCTGACGTACTTGAACTGGGGAATTACTCCAAGAAACACTCCACAGGGGCTGATTTGCCGACCAGTTGGGGCAAGTCTTCCAGTTAGTGTGTGGATTTTGGATGCTTTTTGCTGCGACCTACGCAAGGGCATGGGAAGAGCTGTTTTCAGTGGCCGGATCCACGTTTTCAGTGGCCGGGGTTCCGGACGCTTGGTGTCGTAGGACCAAAAGGCCTTCGCAGGGTCACTCGCCAGGCCGACGTGTTGGATTGGTGATGTTTACCGATGTGGGGCGACCTAAAGGTGATGGTTTAACCATTTGCTTTTCATTATATGGGTGATGAAGAACGGCTATGAACGCTCACGTTTTTCAACCCCAACACATGTGAACGTTGAGCACCTTTGTTGAAGAGAACATCGCCCTAGATGCTGCAGCTTGTGGCCCTTAGCTGGATGGGGCATCCATGTTTGCCCCTCACGCTGCTTCGTCCGCTTTGCCTTTTTGGCGTGCGGCCGTGCAGGCCGGGTCGGCGACGTCGATCTTAGCTGATGTTTCTCGGCTGTAGCATCCTTGAACGATCTTGAAAGAACAGTGTCCACCTCATTGGTACGTCGATGAACATGGATGAACTGCATCGCTGGTGCCCTTCTACCGACCCCGTGGCCCTCTCGTTCGTCCCACAGACTTCTGGGCTTCGGTCGGTGGGGCGGTTGGAGCTACATGACCCGACCCTCGGGTGCCACTGGTGGGGTGGTGAGGGAGTTGGGTCTATGGTCTGGAGCCACCCGATGGTAGGATGAGAGTGTCATGGACGAAAGAGGCGATTTTCCGGACCTGAGTCACGTAGAAGATCCGGTGAAGCCGGTGGCACGCGATGAAGTGCATGACGCTCCGTGTGGCATGCGCATTAGAATGGAATGAGAATTAGGAGTGTGGAATGTGAGAAATAGCATGTTTTACATTTTCCTGGAGTCTGTAGTAGGGGGTCAGCCGCTTTTTCTGCAACCTGGCGCGCCGCCGACAAAAAACACACGAAATCAGCTTCGTGGGTCGCTTTGGTTCTTGCACGCCCTCCCTGGTCTCAGTCGGAGATGGATCTGCTTTGCGAGGAGCCAAAGGCTGGGCTGTTCAAACGTCTTGCGTATGGGGATAGGGCCAACGGGACAACGATGGTTGAACCTAAGAATCCATTTGGGCCACGGGGTCTCCTAATAATGATTACAAAACCCTAATGTGTTGGGTGTGGTGCTGGCGCTGTTCCTGTTCTGTACGTCTATATTATAAGAGGGTGCAGTGATGGGATGAGCTGAGATGTGCTGAAGGGAGAAATCTCGTCGCACCTTCCGGTTCCAAGACATTTCCACTGAGAACCATTGTCTTGTATGCAGCCATTCCTTTTCTTTGTCATGTTTTCCTTCTCAGAATATTTGGAGGTCCCTTCATGGACCACATGTGGAGGCCTTCTTTCTAATTTGCACCCGGAGCTTGCAATGATTGTTACAATTCTGGAGAGTGTGTGGGTAGGGTTTTGACGCAGGTGTTATTGATAGATTGCTGATTGCTTCACCGGTCTGCAGGGACGAAGCCACTTCTGTCCGTCCGAGACCAAGCCACTTCTGTCCGCCCGGTCTGACCGCGACGGTCCCAGCGAGGTGGTTTGACAGCTTGAGATCTTCTTTTCTGCGTGGGTTGTTTGTAGTAGCCATTGAATGAATGTATATAGTATCCTAAGGACTTAGAACAAGGTTCCAGGTGTGAATGGTAAACACTCTGAGTGTTTGCAAGAAAAGCCTTTCGCCACATGAGCGTCACAATGCAACAAAAACATACAAACACAACGGAAAGAAGTAGGTGGCCAATAACAGTTCAGGGCCTCACACACTTTATCTTGAGGGTCTGTAGGTGTGGCCATGTTCATGTAACCTTGACTTGCGCCTTTTTCTCCTTAGCACACTCTGCCATTGAGGCCGCATCCGCTGAGTACAAGCGCTCGCACTGCCAGAGGCCATTCTGCGATGGCCTTAGGTCTGAATTGTCGGTTTTAAGGATGGTCTGATGGTTGAACCATGTTGAACCCGAGTATTTGGGAGTGCAAGACTGCATGTGGGCAGCTGTGACAAAGTGCGGTCACTCGAAAGGCCACTCTGAAAGAGCTGATTCAAACCTGCATGGGATGAGCTTGGCAAGGGAGGTAAGTGCCGATTTGTGCCACAGGAATGGGAACTGTCAAGCCTCTTTTTCAGTTTGGGCCAGTTCTGGTGTTGGCTGACAACAACAGTGTCAAGGAAACGAGACATTTAGTGACCTGTACTTGTACAGGGACCATTTCAGGAGAAAAAAACATCTGGCGCCCTGTTTTCTGTGGCAGTGTTTTGTTTTGACTGGACACTTTCTGCCATGGCTTACCCCACTCACCCCGACCCACCCTGACCAAGGTCCGAGTGCTGGCGCGTTTGCGGCCATATCTGGAGCAAGAGGAGAGACTGCTCGGACCTCCGTCGCTCCAAAGGAGTCGGTCAAAGGATCGATGGAATGGCCCTTGAACGAACACAGCACATGTGGATGGCATGGCCCCTGTGAAGACCATGAAATCCTCTACTAACAGGTGGGTTTGTTCCATGTCCTCCCATCCATGACCCAAATTATCCCATGACCAAATCCTTTGAGGGTCACCATCTTGTCCTCAGGATGATATCTACAAGAAGCTACTAGTAACAAGGTGCCACGCTAGTAGTAACAGGTGCCTTACTAGTAGTAACAAGAAGCTACTTACTTTTAATTCTGATTCTGATATCAGGTCCAAAGAAGGAACTTGGTCGCTCCAGCTGCCGAGGAGTCGGAGGATGTGCCCTGCCTTCGCAGAGTGAGCAGTACCCAGCTGGAGGTGCGCCACAGCAGGGTGGTTGGCTCGCGCCTTTGTGGGGGAATGAGGAGCTTCCAGAGATTGAGCAGGAAAACACACGTGAGCAACCATTACTATTTGGTGTTGACAAAAGTGGTCTATGGCATGCTCTATTTGTGTTGTCCAACATCAGTATTCGCTGGTGAACGAGATAGGGCCCCCACATAAACGAGATACTTTGGTTTGATGACACTACAGTAGTCTGAACGAGATACTGTTTGACTAAAGCAGTCTGAACGAGATTCTGCGACATGACCTTAAAGTAGTCTAAACGAGATAATTAAGTCCCACACATAATATAATAGAGTATTTGCAAGTTCAGCAAAAAAATAAATGCCGCCAGTCAAGTCAACAAGAGATACTGCAACATCAGCGAGTTTGATGTGTACGGGGTCGTAGGGTAGAGTGAGGTCTCCAGGGTTTTGAAATGGGTTGTTGCTTGTCTACTTAGTTTCGTTTTTTGGGGAGGCAGAGATCAGTTATGCACAACTTTGAATATTTAGAGGTTGAATAAGTTTGACAGAAATAGAGATACATCTACAAAGGTTCTTGTTGTCCACCAGCTACAGAGATCACGCAAGCTTAATTGTGTTGGATGGGCCCATGATGATCTGCGGCGCCGATGCGGGTTGTTATGGAGTCGAGCGACGCACCCTCAACAGGATTGGACCAAACCATCTATGGTTTGGGTCATTTCGGAAAACGTTCTTGACAGGTACAGCCACTTGTGTCCCCCCA